TTAAATTAAAACACTAAAATGTTATGACTGGTTTACAAAGTTTAATGTTATTTCCAGTGAACAGCGATAACAATAATGACCACTCCACTTTAATATACAAGTATCAATGTCTCATTAATTGCCTTGCCAGTGCATTGCATTTGACGATCCCTTCTGCCTCATTTTCAACTTGTCCAAGATTAATAGGCACAATGGCTCTGCCGTTTTCATCTTCCATAAATTCCTGAATGTCATCGTGGTTAAGTAGGCAAATATTGTGCATCACACAGGCTGCAATGATAATCTCAACAGCACTTTGGATCTGCAGTGTATCCAGATAGCGAAGGTGCTGAAATCTACCTTTTAACAGTCCCAAAGCTCGTTCTATGACAACTCGATTGGATGATAGTAGATTGTTGAAATTTTTCTGTTCTCGTGTTAAGTGTCCATTATCCCTATACGTTGTCAAAAGCCAACGCCGCAATGAATAACCTCCATCAGCAATGATGTGGTTGCCATTACAGTGCTGCAAACCATTCTCCCACCAAGGTGAGTTTTCCAAAACACGAGAGTCATGACGACTCCCTGGATAACAGCAAAGCAGTCTGAAGCCATTATCTCAGAATTGCAAATGGCCTGTAGTTCCAACGAGTGAAATTTCTTCCAATTCTCATAAGATTGTGGACTAATCTGGGGAGCTTTAATGGGGATATGTGTGCCATCCAGTGCTCTGACAATCCCAGGAAATCCATTCCTTCTTCTGAAATCGTTTATTGTATCTTGCAGTGCCTGATCACTAGGCCATTTAATGAACCTCTGTCTTATATGACGGAGAATACTATTGATAACACAGGTTCTACTGAGGATGACTGATGATTCCGACACTCCAAACCGGTCAGCTATCTTTGTTATACTATCTGCCCCTCCAAAATACCAAAGAGTCATTAGTAACTGTTTAGACACAGGTATTGGCTCTCGTCCAACACTTCCTCTATTACAAAGTTCTGGACAGTCTTTCAGGTATCCCACAATGACCTCAAAAGTGTCTATCGACAAGCGAAACAGGTGCCGGAATTCCAAATTGCTATAATGAGCAACAACTTCATTCACGTAACCCAAAATTCTTGTCCTAGGTGTTCTTGTTCCCCTGGAAAAATATAAAAAAAAAATGCATTTATTTCCAATTATACATGAGACAGATATTGGCTACAAAAGATTTGTATCTGCATGAAGATAATAAAAATGACATGAAATTATGCGACTTTAGAACAATAGTCCCACCTTACAATGATTGTGTGTACACTTTATCAATCTTGAATACACGTTGTAAAATCCAGTTTATATGCATCATAATGCTGAGCATAACTGTAACCATTAGATCGACGTCTGTTGTTTCAATGTGCCGACTTGACCCACAGAAAACCAGTTTCGACAAACGATACGGTAATATTGCTAGTCGCTACACAGTAACACAAACAGGTTACAATATATTTCTATCGTCAGAATAGTACTGTATGCTAGCATGAACGGTCCTCTATATAGGCTACTTCAGACGTAGTTAACATACTTCATTATTAAAGACTATATATTTAGTTGTCTTGGCATCCGATACCTACGACTGAATGATGCTGGCCAATAAAGTTGTGCCTAAGACGTCATTTAACTCATCGTCGTCGTCCTCTTCAGTCATTAACAGAGCCAGTGCTGTAGCTACTGCCATCTTGAATAATACTGCTTCCTGTTCCTGCGCATTCGACTGATGACAGTTCTGGAACAGTTCTGGCACAGCGTGAAACAGGTGAATTGAACAGGCCCCAGAAGATGTCTCTGGTGACGTCATCAAGCAACGAGGACTACAGAAGCTGTTGTCTCTAGTGACGTCATCAAGCAATGAGGACTACAGAAGCTGTTGTCTCTAGTGACATCATCAAGCGACGAGGACTGCAGAAGCCGTTGTCTATGGCGAGGACTACTGAAGCTGTTGTCTCTAGTGACATCATCAAGCAACGAGGACTACAGAAGCTGTTGTCTCTGGTGACGTCATCAAGCGATGAGGACTACAGAAGCTGTTGTCTCTGGTGACGTCATCAAGCGACGACTACAGATATTTCCTGTATTATCTGGTGACACATTTCGGTTAATTCGCCACACCTATTTACCCTACTTTTTTCTAATACAGATATTTCCTGTTTATATCTGGTGACACATTTTGGTTAATTTGCCACACCTATTTACCCTTCTTTTGTACGATACAGATATTTCCTGTTTATATCTTTGGTTGGGTGGCACAGTGGTAACGTATTAGCCTTTCACCTAGACATCTCTTGTTCGATTCCTCGAACCAAATTGAAAGGTTAACATGGAATTGATGGTCATATTACTAGTAAACAACCCCTTCAGGTTTCAGTTGTTGTTTTTTGTACCGGGCTTTATGATTGGTCAACTTTATACGACGGTTTGTTTTCTCTCTATTCATTGGTGTAAGCCTACAAAAGTATGATTTTTCACTCACTTTTATCAATGAGATATTTCTCTCTATATTTCACTGGCAATATATAATAAAAGGTATTACCCACTCTATATGTTGATATTCCATGAAGTTCAGAAGATGAATGAGTTGTGGTTATCATCAAAATAATGATACAATCTGAGAGTAACAGGAAGAGAAGATACTTTACACGTCAGTGTTTTTGAATGAGTTCTATTTTTTAAGATATCTTCAAAACTGAATAAACGAGGACTATTTTGTTCCTCGACTTTCATCGGGATTGAAAAATAGATCAACGACAACTATTTTGTTCTCCTACTTCCATCATACTTCAATGTTGAATTAACGAAGACTGAAATGTTGTTCCTCGACTTTAATCGGGATTGAAAAATAGATCAACGACAACTATTTTGTTCTCCGACTTCCATCATACTTCAATGTTGAATTAACGAAGACTGAAATGTTGTTCCTCGACTTTCATCATCCTTCAAATAGAAACCATGGTCTTGATGTAAAATAATTTTCTTTTTTAAGTGACTAAACACGATGCTTAGTTCAATATCTGTTTTTGCCCCTTTTGTATTAAATTGAAACGAGTTTGAAGCTATTTGTTTAATTAGAAAGAAATAGCACTAGTAAGTGTATGTCTTGGTAATCATTTTTTTTTTTATTTATCAAAATAAAAGGAAGAAATATAATTGTATGCACTTCAGCGAGATTTTGTCGCTAATTTAAAGAATGTGTGATTATAATTTTAACATATTGCTGGAGTGACTTTTACAGCTTAATTTTGCTATCAACTTACTACTGGCATTTTTCAACTTACATGTACTGATGGAGTCTGATAGCAGCAGTTTCATTTGCTGTATAAAATGTTTTGCATCCCTAGGAACAGTTAATATTGTCATAAAAAATCTTCTCCATGATATGTAATATTCTGCATTTCACTTTCTGAATATGAATTTAATTTTTAGTAGTTATTTTGCTTGTGTTCATTGTCAGATTAGATTCATAATCCCAGAAGAAATTGAAATAAACGTATTCCAGTTTAAGGCGGTATTGTGCCAAAAACTAGTCGTTGGAAGACAAAATGTTAAGACATCTGGTATTGTGTCAGGATGTGGTCAGTGTGAGACAAAATGGTGAAATATCTGGTATTGTGTCAGGTACTGGTCAGTGTTGTGTCAGGAACTGGTCAGTGTGAGACAAAATGGTAAGACATATGGTATTGTGTCAGGAACTGGTCAGTGTAGGACAAAATGGAAAGACATCCGGTATTGTGTCAGGATGTGGTCAATGTGAGACAAAATGGTAAGACGTCTGATATTGTGTCAGGATGTGGTCAGTGTGAGACAAAATGGTTAGACATCTGGTATGGTGTCAGGTACTGGTCAGTGTGACACAAAATGGTAAGACACCTTGTATTGTGTCAGGTACTGGTCAGTGTGAGACAAATTGGTAAGACATATGGTATTGTGTCAGGATGTGGTCAGTGTGAGACAAAATGGTAAGACATCTGGTATTGTGTCAGGAACTGGTCAGTGTAGGACAAAATGGTAAGACATATGGTATTGTGTCAGGATGTGGTCAGTGTGAGACAAAATGGTAAGACATCTGGTATTGTGTCAGGTACTGGTCAGTATTGTGTCAGGAACTGGTCAGTGTAGGACAAAATGGTAAGACATATGGTATTGTGTCAGGATGTGGTCAGTGTGAGACAAAATGGTAAGACATCTGGTATTGTGTCAGGTACTGGTCAGTATTGTGTCAGGAACTGGTCAGTGTGAGACAAAATGGTATGACATCTGGTATTGTGTCAGGTACTGGTCAGTGTGAGACAAAATGGTAAGACGTCTGGTATTGTGTCAGGAACTGGTCAGTGTCTGACAAAATGGTAAGACTTATGGTATTGTGTCAGGATGTGGTCAGTGTGGGACAAAATGGTATGACATCTGGTATTGTGTCAGGATGTGGTCAGTGTGGGACAAAATGGTATGACATCTGGTATTGTGTCAGGTACTGGTCAGTGTGAGACAAAATGGTAAGACGTCTGGTATTGTGTCAGGAACTGGTCAGTGTAGGACAAAATGGTAAGACACCTGGTATTGTGTCAGGATGTGGTCAGTGTGGGACAAAATGGTAAGACACCTGGTATTGTGTCAGGATGTGGTCAGTGTGGGACAAAATGGTATGACATCTGGTATTGTGTCAGGTACTGGTCAGTGTGAGACAAAATGGTATGACATCTGGTATTGTGTCAGGTACTGGTCAGTGTGAGACAAAATGGTTTGACATCTGGTATTGTGTCAGGATGTGGTCAGTGTGAGACAAAATGGTAAGACATCTGGTATTGTGTCAGGATGTGGTCAGTGTGAGACAAAATGGTATGACACCTGGTATTGTGTCAGGAACTGGTCAGTGTGAGACAAAATGGTAAGACGTCTGGTATTGTGTCAAGATGTGGTCACTGGAAGACAAAAAAGATAACGTTTGAATTTCAAAATTCATAATATTTAATTTTTTTATTGTTGTTTGATGTGTAGATGGTTGGATGTATAAATGTGGTGATATTTGTTACACTGTGAACAACGCAGTACAAAAATATCGTATAAATATCATAACTCTTATATATACATCTACAATGTACTCAAATGCCTTATAATAATTCTGTTAGCTGTATAAAATATACTCCAAAAACACGGAACAAATGACCTAATCAAACAAAAATACAATAATAATAGTCATAAATACTGACAAAAATAAAGGCACCAAACTATGCTGCCTAGCAACGCCTCTTATTCTGGATGGAGAAGACCACAGTGCATTAGACAGAGTTGCTATAACATTATCAAATAATTTTGTAAATAGGCATCATGGTATGACAAACATAATTCATAGAGTAACATTGTCAGCTATCCTCCCATTGAGATTATTCATATTTTTGTAAAAAAATAAATGGAAATAATTGATGCATCTTTTCAACATCTTTTTGTTTCAATAAAGCTACCTTATGCTCATTGGCATGTTTATAACATAAGTGTGAACAATAAGCCAAAAATACAGAAAATATAATTCATTGACTGTGAATAACAGCATGGACCGAGTCATTCCTAAACTATCTGTTTCCTACCAAGCAACAGCCCTACTTGTAACGGAGGGGCTATACCAGGTGATGGTCATCATTCTAGCCAGTCTACATCAAAAACAAGATGTGGGTACCGATACACCTCAATATAACTATATAATCATTTTGAAGAACTTCTAATATAACTGTGCGAGTTGACAAAGAGTTGCCTCCCTTGGATGGTCTCGTCACAGGAAATCACAATCATTACTGACTAGGAGTAATCCAGATAATTTTATCGTATATCTGACAGATTCTGTTGACTTTATTAAGTAAGTAACACAAAACGATAAATGACATTAGACTAACTTAATAACTCATTTTAAATATGGACGGAATCATTAAATGTTCAATACGGCCATTAATTCATTGGATTAATCTATCCGAATTATCACTGTCGTAAATTCTTTAAACCAGAAATCAAAACAAATATCAATGAGAACAAAAGTATAAATTTAAGAAAACATGAAAAAGGTCCAATATCCAGACGATAAAATCATTTCATCTTGAAATGGATGTCTACTAAGCGGTTTGCAGTAACAAAATCCAATTAAAAACATGTCTACTCATGCATCACATAGATAAATCTAGATTTCTCTCACACAAACCCAGCAGCTTCAACTGTTCTCAAATCTCCCTACATATTTTATCACATGATTTGTGTGACTGTGTAACTTCTAGTAACACATGACGGGTATGTAAAAATTTCCTGATCCACATTTATCATTGACATCCAGTAGCTACTATAGTTATCAGATTAGAAATAAAATATACAAAAATGAAGATCTTTCATGAAATAAGCCAACAACAATCTCTCGCTCATTCTCAAACCCATAACATTCAACTTTGGCACCAATAATATCACAGTCATTTACAAATGAAATGCATCGCCAATCACTAAAATATTTCAACGTGTATGTGTCTAACACTCATTTAAGACTAACGTCGAACTAAAATGACATGTCGTGTTGATGTTTACGTAGAAAAAATCCTGTTGGGCAAATGAAAATGAATTACATGCATATCAGTTAAGATAACGTTTTACTCACAGTCAGCTAGTTCATAGTAAATTCATGTTCTATAGTAAGAAGCTGCCCGTATATAACATATGGTCATCAGAAACCAACACGACAGGTCATTATTGTCCGATTTTATATGACAAGGAATCATTTCCTGAGATAAAACATGATGAGTGTATGTTTGTTGATCATCACTGAAGAATATAACAGCCATATACTTTCTCCAGAATAATAAACATCACTTTCCATTATTACAAATTTCAGTACGAGGTACCACAACTGGGTAGGGGTATCTATGATGTGGAGGGCACTTTACGCTGTCTCCGAAGTCGTGACTTTATATCCGCTGAATTAATTGGTCTGCTTCTCAAGAAGGATGGATCAGTGTTATAGAAGGACGGTGTAGTATTGTTCATATACTGTTCACTAAGAATGGAGTCCGGTAACGATTCCAGGTCGGAAACAATGGACGCTGGAGGGGAGGTAACTCCAGTGTCTCTAGTGTGGCGTGGGTTATCGTCATACAGTTCATAACTTCCACTAACAACACCGTGTATGGAGCGCTGGCTGCCCTCGATCAGATCACGAGCATAGTCTCTATAGGAGCTATATGAACGACGAGAGCTAGCGTTGGAGCCTGTCCTTGATCTCATGCCACTAAATAACAAGATTACATATGTAATTATAACACCAAGCAAATAATCTGGAAGATGTTTGCAACCATTGATTTTCATTTTAGAAAATAAAATACAATTGTGTAAACAATCACTGATAAACTGAACTGTATTTCTATTGGGCTAGGGTGGTATTAAAGTCCAATCAAATAAAATGAAAAAATAAAAACACCTCAATAAGGAACTTTTTAGTATCCAGAATGGTATGCATCATATGCAAATACAAAAAGAAATGAAATGAGAACACACTGATTTAATTATACATTTAATTCATATAACCTACCTGTAATTTCTGGTGCTGTGTAGAAGAGTGTTTTGTGCCCGAGATATTTCTTGCTGGTTTTGCATCCTGGCTTCCTGCATGTCTCTAAACAGATCCCGTGTCTCTTGTAAGGCATACAGCTGGTCATTACCCCGTGATTCCCGATCAGGAATATCATCATGATCAGAACGGGTTCGGCGGGGCCTTGCTAAAGTCCGGTGTGGTGAAGAGCTGGCGACACGAGGTGTCAGATACGTTTCAGAGTAGTCGTCAGACCTGGGCGGTGTATACGTCCTTGATGGACTATGGGAGTAACTTCTCACTGATATATTCAGAACATGCTGCTCTGGCACCGACAGACTACTAGTACTGCCATACTCCATCCTGTAAGGCTGATGCTCAGGAGAATGACGAGGTGAAGCATGACGCAATGGGGATGATCTTGGTGACACTGATGTGCGTTGTATGTAATGCTGTTCCGGGCTAGCATGTGACGAGTAACGATGGTGCACAGGCGAAGTTTGAGGTGTACAATTATATGAAGAACTCCGGGGACTATATATTCTTTCTGTTTCATCATAATGACTTAACTGTGGCGAACATGACCGGCTTGCTCTGTATGCATTTTCATCTCGTTCAGTCACTTCCACAAGAGCTCGTCTCAAATCTACAAGGTGTTCCCTATGTTGTTTGGGTGTCATCAATCGAGGAGAAGTTTCAAGTGAGGACGGACTAACACTACGAGAATGTCTCTCGTTTTCACAAGGTGAAGCTTTCTTCAGAGGACTAATACTTCTTGCTCTTTCATATTTTTGTTGTTCCATGAATCTCTCAGCCTTAAACGCTTCTATTTCCTCAAGGCGTTTCCATCTTGCAATGTCTTTATTTCTGGTCCTTGTTCTACCACGTCCAGTGCCCTGTTTAACCGTTCTGTTCATTTTCTCCTTACATATCTGAATATCCCATTTGGATTTCTGAAGATCATGGCGATAATTAGTCACGTATTCCCTGGTAATATCAGTCTGATGAAGATGGTGTACATTTGTTGTATTAAAGTCTGCTCCATCCCATGTTTCCTCAAGGGTTTTCAGCAGAGTGTCTGTTTGCCCAATGCAGTAGTTAAGTTTTGCCTCTAATAATTCCACGGTTAAGCTGGCAGGCAGATAATTCATAGACAGCAGTTCAATTATCTCCACCCTTTCCTTTTGCAGCCTCGATAATTCTGACTTTATTGCGGAATTTGTTTTAATGTGCGCTGTCCGTGTCTCAGAATTTCTGTTACTATCGGCACTGAATTCACTTAAGTCAAGTTTTAGTGCCTGTATGTCAGTCTGAGTAAAGTCGTCAGAACTATCAACAGAAACTTCCACACCTGTACTGATCTTCCCATTTGTGTCTGTGGATCTTGTAACAGGAGGCTGTTTTCGAAGTGCAGCCAGATAGTTAGGCTGAACTTCAGGTGATCTGAGGTATGCTTGTGGATTTTGGTATTGTGAGGTTTTCAATTCGCTGCTGCCCAACGCAGTGGGTGAGTTTGGAGGAGTCTGGAGTAGTGGCGACCCCTCTCTGTCGCTCAATGCATCATCAATAGGTTCACTGGTCGCACTACCCCGTGTAATTAGTGTTCTATTTTTAGCTCCAGACCGGTTGTCTTTGGTTGTATTCCATGAACAACTGTTGTCTTTATCATTGAGATACTGAGAAACCTCTTCACCAAGCAGCGTTCCTTCTGATGTTAAACTACTTAAAGAATCTAGTCGGGACACCTCAGAATTTCTATGAGAATCTGCCTCTGCTTCTAAAGACAGTAATGATGTTTGCTGATCTGATTTTCGAGCAGGCAATACAATATCCTCAATAACCTCAGCAGGAGAGTCGGGCACAATTGAGACCTCCTTGTGCTTTCTCCCTTTTCGAACTCTAGGTGATCTAGCCTCGGCAGGTGTTCTTGATTTGCTCATTTCCTGAGTATTATCAGACAAGATGTCATCAATGTTATCCAAGTTTTCATTGCTACCCAAGTACTGATGACTATCTTTAACAATCGAGTCTAGGTCACCAGTTTCATCTCTTTCCTCCTTAGTAGAACTTTGTTCTAGTTCCATTGTTTTATCACTCTTTGGAGTAAAACTTTTGAATTTGATGTCGGAAGAAAGATGTGTGTCATGCCACGACTCATCACACTTGGTATCCAAATCAGATATGTGTTGATCATGGGAAGATATTCTTGAATTATATTCGCTGTTATGATCCTGTTCCAGCTTTGTTTGTTTTTCCAGTCTTACTTTCAATTCATGTGTCCTAATCTTCCTTCCTTTAGCTGCTTTCTTGAGAGATTCCATCATCTTCATATGCTCAGCTTTCAGAGCCTCCATTTCAGCATTAGTCACATCCATGTCAGGAATATTAGCCTCTGTTTCTATGACACTCTCCCTCTCAATCATGACAGTTTGAGTCTGTTCCTTCATTGAGGTATTTTTTCGCAGATGATGCGCCTCTTCATTGCACTCAATGACAGTTTGGTCTTGAACACGAGATGTTGCATGCCCGGATGATAATTTTAGCTTTTTCTGTGCATTGACCCCACCAACAACAGATGGTTTGATTTCTTCTTCCATCTCTTCTGGTTCGCCATCACTGTTCTTCAGTGCGAGGCGAAGTCTACTTAGTACTTTCTCAAACTCATCAGTTTGCATAGACGAATCCATGGTGTCCACAGTGGTGTCAGGTGACGTCTGACACGACATCTCCCTTGACGATTCAGGTGGGAAAACTATGTCAAAGTCAGCAGAAAGCTCTGCCGGAAGTAGAATAATATCTGTTGTTTCAGTTTCTGACAGTTCCCTTGGTCTTGTGATTTCTGTGTCCGTCTGTGTAGAATCATTACTATTGTCAGGCATATCTTCTCTATCAAATAACATCCATTCTTCCTCGGTTTGTATCCCTAGGTTATGGACAGCAGTCAATGACCCAGTTGTTTGAGTGGAATCGTCCTGTGCCTCTTTGTGGGAGGTAGATGACGAATGGTCGGAATGGGATCTGGATGTCGGGAAGGGAGAAGCCAGCATTTCACTAGAAGAACCAGAAATTGTATGAACACCTTGAATCTTCTGGTTTATGTTGTTAACCAAAGCTGTCGATTCAATTACCATATGGGATAGGTTCTCCCAGTTTTCTGTGCCTTCTGGAAGTGAAAGAGTAATGGAACTATCAACATGGTTGATATCCCCCATGCTTTGTGCTCGATAGGGCAGTGCTGGCAACACCTGTGAATCCTGTTGATTATTTTCGTTAGTATTCTCCACAATATCTGTTTGAGTGCCAGTGTCTGTCAAACATACTTGTATGTCGTCTGATACAATCTGACCTGACGTATTGAGGATAGGGAAGGAGCTGAAGTCACTACTGGACTTTTCGTTCTGGTCAAGCATTTCAACATTGTTTAAATTACCACTGTAGTCAATAGTTTCGGAAGCATTTTCTCGTCCAATGAACGGATGTGTTGAAGAGAGTTCAGAGTAAGTAATCTCCTCTGCTGTCATTTGTTCCTCGTCAATAAACCGATCTTTTGAATTGTTTAGATTAATGTCACCGCCATTGTTTTTTGTGTCACTGTCGTCAGAGTAATATTCCTCGATAACAATTACATTGCCGTCGTATCCATGAACATTGTCCCAAAAGTCGGAGCCAACAGTGGGAGGAAATATGCCTTCGTTGTTACTCGGATCATTTGGGTTTTCCTTTGGGTTTACCTCTAGAAGGTCTGTTGAACGTGATCGATGGACAATCAGATTAGACAGAGTCTGTTTTGGAATGTTGTCGGATGACACAGATCTAACAGGGATAGGGAGGACAGATTCGTCAATTCCAAATTTGTGTCTTAGAGGCTCATTGTCATCATCATCATCATCATCACCATAATTCTTATAATGACATTCACCGGTATGATCTGGGCTCATATTTGCAAGATTCAGATCCTCTTTGGATTTCAATATAATTTCATTTTCACGCAGCAAGTCACTGTCTCCAAGTTTTACATGGTCATTATCAAATGCATGTTCTTCATTCATCATGTCTTCAGATTTGAGCTGAGAAGTGGATTCTCCTACTCTTGAGAGTTTACATATCGGTTCCGAATCGCTTTCAAACGAGAGTGGATTGTACTCCTTTTGAAGCTTTTCCATGCTTTCCGTAGTGTGTGACTGACCCATGAATACAAACACGATACTGTCATTGGAACTCTCTGAAGATGTTATTTCATCATAGTCATCAACGTTGGCTTCTGACATAGACCGCTTAAGATCTCTGTCACAACGAGGTGTGGAAATGTCTGACATGGAGGGTGATTTCTCTTTTTTAACTGACCTTTGCATGTCAGGTAGTGACCTGGGAACAATGCTATTGTCTAATTGATCAGATGAAGCCGCATCAGCATTAATCTTATACACCTCCTCTAGGTCTGAAGAACCAGATCCAACACTTTCAAAAATGTCTTCCGATGAGCCTGAAACATTTAACACAAGCTCGCCAGGCGAAAGTGACCTAGAGTTGGCAACGGCACTGATATTAATATCTTCATTGTCTACAGGAACAAAAACAGCCGACTCCTTTTTGACAACTCTTGCTGGAATAATTGATTCTTCTACCTGTTCTCCATAGTCCGAGTCATCAAACACATTTCCAGAATCTTTCAGAGGTGATTTTTTGGGTGTTTTGTTATCGATATCTAACAGTTTATGTACGGTAGAAGAGAAAGGTTGTCCAGAAGCTGAAGGATCAAACTGGGTTCTTGCCTGTGTCACCATGACTTGAATGTCCTCTGGATACCTTGGTTCAGTCTGGTCTATGAAGAGACCTCCTCTTAAGGTTTTGTCAGATTCGTACAATCTGCTTCCCCGCGGCGATACAGAAGTAGAATCACCATCTGTGTAGTCAGAACTAATTGCTGAATCACTCAGACTGCGCACATGCTTTTGAAGTCGAGCTAACTTTTGCTGGAGTTCCCTTTTCAGATCCTCCCTAACACTACTCTCATCATCTGTCATTCTCCTTATGAAGGGAACAGACTGAGGATCAGCCATGACAGAGCCAGTCATCTGTTCTGCTGTGGATGGGGACTTTGGTAGTGAATTTTGTGTTTCCTCATATTTCCTACATGTAGAAATCTGGGGAGACCGGGGGCGATCTGGAATTTCCACATTTTCAATTGCAGTAGTATCCTCTTCCTCATGGTCTCGTGGTGATTGTTGAGGTGTTTTGTAAATTGAGGAGTCTGAACTAACACTGTCTGGTCCTTGAAGCCGGTCTAAGGACACTGACAAGTCATCGTTGTCTTCCCCATTCTTTTGATACAAGGCCGACATTCGCGCAATAGCACCTAAAACTTGTTGAGCAACCTTTGTTGTATGAGGAACACTTTCAGCTTGAACAAACTCATTGCCCTCTAAATCTGAATCATCTGACACATCATCAATCTGATCACTAGATATGACATTTGAAAGTAATTCTGGCTCACAAGGGATTTGATGAGCTCCTGCTATGACATTCCGTCTGGAGATCTGCTCAGATGAACACAACTGTTGCCCATCTTGCGAGATAGAACCCACATCTTCCATATTCATCTTAGCCACATGACCCACTTCAGCTAACAATAAATTTGACTCGCCATTAGGGAGAGCGAATACTTCACTGTCCAGAGGACTGCTATCCTGATTATCTGTGTGAGATTTGTACCCACTAGCCAGAGAACCCTCCTCATCTCCCGAGTCAAGAGTAAAAGACATAAAGTCACGCCGATTGTCCATTATCATTGTTCCATAGTCAGAGGTAGTGTCAGACTCACGAGGAGACAGAACACCATTCTTATTTATATCTCCTGTTCCCAAAGTAACATGGGGTGTACTCGTTCCTGGACAGAGATCTAAATAAGAGGCTGTATTTTCGTCTTCGAAATGTCTATCTATGACATCATCTTCATCTCTAGATGCTTCATGTACTGAGCGAAATGTTCTTTCAGAAACAACAACGTTTTGTTCCGGAGAAGAAGCACTGTCAGAGTTACTGAGATATACACGTTGTAGAGTAGAGGAAGTATGGCGACTTTCTGATGTATGTGAATCTGTTGAGGTTAGATTTACATGGATGCTTTCAGGAATACTCATCATTTGTTCATTTGGTTGAATCTGACTTCTCAATGAGTAGGTTTTATGTTCAGTTCTATCCACATTGTAACTAATGTTAGTATTTTCTTCATTTATTGTCACGTAATATTTCACAGAATTTGAATCTTCTTTTGTGTCAGATGAATCTCCATCATCAAAGAATTTATCACAGGCAGTTGGTGACTGTGGTGAGAACACTTCAGTTTCCATAACATATGCATGATCATCATCAGAATCAGATGAGAAGTCTGCATCCAGTTTTCCGCTGGCTGCATAATCCTCTACCCAAGTACCTGCTGACCAAACATCAGGTGAAGTGAACTCTAATTTGACCGGTTTTGTTTTCTTGGACTTTTTGATGTGCCTACTATCCATCGTGACATTTAAACCGCCCGACCCATGAGGCCCATTAGAAGCCTTCATCCGTCTATCTCCAGAGTTCCACACGCTCAGAGGAGAGATGTTGAGCACTGGCGATTTTCTTCTCGATGTAGAAATTTCTGGGAATTCCAACCAACTGACATCTGTCTGTTGTTCCATATCACGTGTTTCTGATGGTGCTCTTGATGAAGGTCTCAAGTCAGTATCACTAGTGCTAGACCCACTGCTTGACCTTCGTTTGGCATGCTTACTTTTCTTCTTTGGGATAGCACCTCTACTATTGTCATCCTCCTGGTTTGTAATGCCATTCAGGTAGTGACCATCCATATTGAATTCACTTTTAGTTTGGTCACGATTTAGATTAGATCTTTTATCACATGAGTCCTCATTGTTCTTCTCATAATCACAGGTGTAACTAACATTGTCATGTACATTTGTACTCTCCCTTTGTTCACCTAAAGCAAATGCCAACTGTTCGGCAAAGTCACTGTATGTCACTGAATGGTCACACTCATCTAAACTAACCGACTTCACATCCCTGGACTCACTGGCTAGAACAGAATCATCTGAGCAAACATTGTCGCTCTCAGAGTTGACATAGTCCTCAGAGCTTGGAGCTTTCAAATTTGAACGACGTTCGGACTTTGATTTAATAATCCTACGTCGCCGTTTGGAAGCCGAATCAGGTCGGGATGACGGCCTAGACACATTCCCTGTAAGTAAATAAAAGCATTCTGTTATTCATTCTTTTATCATATGTAATATCTAAAAGTTATTCCAAAGAACAAGTCCAGAATGGAGGCATAAACAAGAACATATTTGTCTTTTTTCCACAAACGTAATTCCACAAAGCCCTGTGCATAGCATAAAATTGAACATCCGTAAGAGTGACTCTGATTGAGATCCCAGTCAACAAAATATTAATGAGCACTACAATGACGTGTGAAACAGACCTGTTAAATAATACCTTCTGTCTAGATGAATTACCGGAGCCCTTACGGGAAAAGAATGTAAGCACACATTATGTGTATAGGATATTCATACAACAAACACTTGAACAATTTAATAATTTTCTATAGTGTATTTCTAGGGTAATTGCATTACGTTTATTATGTACACAAAAGAGATTTCCCCACCCTATAGGTTAATACATGTTTTGTACCTTTAAAGCAAAGTCCCTGCATAAACAAATTTAGTATTGGTCTGCTAGGTATCACGCAACATGTGACTTCAAAACTGTAAGATATTAATTTCTGTGGAGGATTGATTTTCACTGATTTGGTGGATACTCTAAATTTATGACTGTAGACATCCACAAAACGATAAAAAGCTTACAAAAATTACAGCACTTGTGAATGTTATATCCATGAAATTAAGTGCCAACAAAAATGTGTATTTGTGGGAAACCATGAAATTTCAGCTTCACAAAAATATCCGATTTTACAGTATATAGAAATATAGTTATCAATAGGTATCACCAAAATATGCCTAAACATTTAGGAGATTAGCACACCCAACATATAGGTCAATATTGCATGAGATATAAATACGTCCAAAAGTCAATTAATCCAGAGGATTATCAGCTTAAGACTTCACACCAACCTACACATATACACACTTGTCAACCCAGTCACAAAGCCTTTATGTTTTGTTATCATGTATGTAGCAAGGCATGGCTTACAATGCCACGTGTCACAAATACCATCAATAAGACAAAAATTGGTAAAACATGAAATTTGTGATATGTTTTAAGTTTTTTACAGCAGGACCTAAACATATATGTAAATATCCCTCTAGGCTACAAAGCTGGCCAAACTCTGTCAAAATAGTGTCTCAGTGACAGAATGACAGCTTTAGCCTTCAACATGCAATTGAAGACAGGTATATTGGATAATGTAATGGCTGCCACGTCTATGCTAATCAATATTAAAGATAAAACCACTATAGTAATTTAATATTGGCACCATGTCAATCTGTTTTATGTAAAACAGTCATACAGTCTACCTATATTACCTTTATATAACACTGTAACAAGTATTCAATATCATGTGTGGATTATCTTTTATAGTTTCCATCCAAAAGGATGTATATTTTTAATCTATATACTTTACCAGATGTTTATTTTTCAATCTATAGGTCAACGTTGCTCTTATAATCCCACCATCTGAATTCATCAGAATTTGATATCTAAGTTTCCCTTATATTCATGCTATGAGAATTCCAGACCTAAGTCTCCCTTGTAATCATGCTATCAGAAATAAGACTGACCTGATATTCAGATCTGTTTAAACTCTTACACAAAATACATATGGCCAGCTAATGACAAACAATGACCTTGTTTATTGTCTATTTGTACAGTGAGGTATGTGAGGTCAATATTGATCTGTTCACTACGGAGCAGCCTGATTACCTATCCACAGGTATACACAAGTTCTGCATTTAAATACACCAGAGCACTTACAACATATTAACCCAGTCTTATGTTTGAAAGCGTACCACAGTGATTGAGACAGTTGTCATTGGTTATGTTTACATGTCCTATTTCAAAACCAGTTTTACCTGTATTAGCTCAAGTCATTGAAAAATAAATTGAATTGAAATCAATACATTAGCCTTATTTGCATCTTAATTACAACCTTGCTGACGATTTGAATTAAAAAAAGAATCAAGTATAATCCAGATATAGGTATACAAAACTAGTTTTCAAAAACATCTCCTGTGGTTGGCAGAATTTGGTTCTTTGAAACATACTAATTCAATTATAGGAATTAAATTGAAGTTAGAGATTTCAAGATTTCAGCAAAGCCATTCCTAGTTTCAAAATATCTCACATACATTACTGCAAGTGACCACCATAAAAAGGATGTATGGTTTCATTGAAACTGGTTCCCAACAAGACACATGTTAGAATATCTAATACACACATCTTAACCTATAACACCAAGACATGTGTCTCAACCTATAACACTAAGACATGTGTCTAAACATGTAACACAAAACATGTGTCTAAGCCTATATCATCAAGATATGCATTTACGTCCCCAACATCAAGATTTCCTCGTAAGCCCCATTACAAGGGACTAGTCAAAATTCCCATAAGCACACATATAGATCTGAAATACACAAACTCGTCCCTCATATGTTTACCTTCCAATCTTTCATGATTTGTAATTTGAGACTGAAGTTTTATCTTAACTGGATATCTACCAAGAACATATACAATCAAAACATAGACAAGTCTGAAATGTGTTGCTTAAAGTGTATTGTCCAATACTTGTTAAAGAGATCTGGTCATGACTATTTTGGATTTTTGGAATCCTGATTGTATAGTTTTGCATGGAGGATATATATCTATCACAACAATGGATACTTGTGGGTCAGAAAGGGTCATACATAGTTGTTTGTTTTATTTTTGGTTTTTATAAAAGATCCCTGATATTTGTAAGCGAGTTATTCCCTCCCCCTCCCACTTCCCAATAAAGAGTTTTGTTTGAAACCTATTTGCACATTCAGAGCAGCTTTCATTTGATTTCTTAACCTGATTTGGAATTAATTTCTTGCTCAAAAGGTATTCTTACATAATTTCTGGCCAGAAATCTAGAAAACTTACTCTACAGCACCAATCTCAGAGAACTATGGTCAGACATCCAGATACCTTACTCTAGGGCACCAATCTCAGAGAACTATGGTCAGACATCCAGATACCTTACTCTACAGCACCAATCTCAGAGAACTATGGTCAGACATCCAGATACCTTACTCTACAGCACCAATCTCAGAGAACTACGATCAGACATCCAGATACCTTACTCTACAGCACCAGTCTCACAGAACTATGGTCAGACATCCAGATACCTTACACTAGGGCACCAGTCTCACAGAACTATGGTCAGACATCCAGATACCTTACACTAGGGCACCAATCTCACAGAACTATGGTCAGACATCCAGATACCTTACTCTACAGCACCAATCTCACAGAACTATGGTCAGACATCCAGATACCTTACTCTAGGGCACCAATCTCACAGAACTATGGTCAGACATCCAGATACCTTACTCTAGGGCACCAATCTCAGAGAACTATGGTCAGACATCCAGATACCTTACTCTACGGCACCAATCTCAGAGAACTATGGTCAGACATCCAGATACCTTACTCTACAGCACCAATCTCAGAGAACTATGGTCAGACATCCAGATACCTTACTCTACAGCACCAATCTCAGAGAACTATGGTCAGACATCCAGATACCTTACTCTAGGGCACCAATCTCAGAGAACTATGGTCAGACATCCAGATACCTTACTCTAGGGCACCAATCTCACAGAACTATGGTCAGACATCCAGATACCTTACTCTAGGGCACCAATCTCACAGAACTATGGTCAGACATCCAGATACCTTACTCTAGGGCACCAATCTCACAGAACTATGGTCAGACATCCAGATACCTTACTCTAGGGCACCAGTCTCACAGAACTATGGTCAGACATCCAGATACCTTACTCTATGGCACCAATCTCAGAGAACTATGGTCAGACATCCAGATACCTTACTCTAGGGCACCAATCTCACAGAACTACGGTCAGACATCCAGATACCTTACTCTAGGGCACCAATCTCAGAGAACTATGGTCAGACATCCAGATACCTTACTCTAGGGCACCAATCTCAGAGAACTATGGTCAGACATCCAGATACCTTACTCTAGGGCACCAATCTCAGAGAACTATGGTCAGACATCCAGATACCTTACTCTACAGCACCAATCTCAGAGAACTATGGTCAGACATCCAGATACCTTACTCTACAGCACCAATCTCAGAGAACTATGGTCAGACATCCAGATACCTTACTCTACAGCACCAATCTCAGAGAACTATGGTCAGACATCCAGATACCTTACTCTAGGGCACCAATCTCAGAGAACTATGGTCAGACAGCCAGATACCTTACTCTAGGGCACCAATCTCAGAGAACTATGGTCAGACATCCAGATACCTCACCCTGGGGCACCAGTCTCACAGAACTATGGTCAGACAGCCAGATACCTCACCCTGGGGCACCAGTCTCACAGAACTATGGTCAGACAGCCAGATACCTTACTATGGGGCACCAATCTCACAGAATTTTGGTCAGACAGCCAGATAACTCACCCTGGGGCACCAGTCTCACAGAATTTTGGTCAGACAGCCAGATACCTCACTCTGGGGCACCAATCTCACAGAACTATGGTCAGACATCCAGATACCTCACCCTGGAGCACCAGTCTCACAGAATTTTGGTCAGACAGCCAGATACCTTACTCTGGGGCACCAGTCTCACAGAATTATGGTCAGACAGCCAGATACCTCACCCTGGGGCACCAGTCTCACAGAATTTTGGTCAGACAGCCAGATACCTCACTCTGGAGCACCAATCTCACAGAACTATGGTCAGACATCCAGATACCTCACCCTGGGGCACCAGTCTCACAGAATTTTGGTCAGACAGCCAGATACCTTACTCTGGGGCACCAGTCTCACAGAATTATGGTCAGACAGCCAGATACCTCACCCTGGGGCACCAGTTTCACAGAATTTTGGTCAGACAGCCAGATACCTTACTCTGGGGCACCAGTCTCACAGAATTATGGTCAGACAGCCAGATACCTCACCCTGGGGCACCAGTTTCACAGAATTTAGGTCAGACAGCCAGATACCTTACTCTGGGGCACCAGTCTCACAGAACTATGGTCAGACAGCCAGATACCTCACCCTGGGGCACCAGTCTCACAGAACTATGGTCAGACAGCCAGATACCTCACCCTGGGGCACCAGTCTCACAGAACTATGGTCAGACAGCCAGATACCTCACCCTGGGGCACCAGTCTCACAGAATTTTGGTCAGACAGCCAGATACCTTACTCTGGGGCACCAGTCTCACAGAATTATCAGTTAGGAATACAATGTAATGGAAAGTCTGGCATACTTGAATCAATGACATTAGTACCTTCTGAAAAATTGACTATCTGACAGAGGAAATATGCTTTTGTGTATATCATACATGTACCCATTACATATATATATACCAGTCAAAATTATATTGATAAAGCATGAAAGACTCCACAAATATAGTTTGTAAGATCAATAAAAAGAGCCTGTTTTCTGGCGTGAGTGAATTAATCATTTACCCAAGGGACCACACCAAATAAAGTAGCGTCCACACTATCACAACAGATAGCATACAATGTAGGCTGTTCTTTTTATCTAAGGTACCCTGGGATTGCCTAGGAATGTATTTCTGTTCTGTTTACAGACTATATAATGCTAACCCTCCTGGTAGAATACTGGCATACCTTACAATATTTACATCTGCAAAGTTCTACTCTTAAAGACATGTAAGAATTTTCAATGATTAAAGTGTAATGTCAATATGACAGCTTGGTCACAAGTTAAAATCAATCCACTATATCCTAGACACAGATAATAAAGTAAGAGGTGAGAATCCATTTTACCTTTAAGGTATCCCGCATGTTGCACACATCAGTTGATATGTTTATGGTTCTCCATCGAGTTCTCCAGTATATAGAGATACTAGTGAAATTCCGAACTTACTCGTATGTTACATAGTGGTTATACAACACAGTTACACAGAGGCCAATGTAGTTCCACCCTAAAAATACTTCTACGGTAAGCTGGAGGCCATCACAAAACTGTTCGAACACTGTAGTTAGACTGGAAAAATGTTATTTTTGATATCAGGACACCATAACTCTGTGCCTACATTAGAAGTACAACAGCTTTTCCCGTACGCCTACAACAACCACTAGATACAATAGAATTTTTATGCAGTAATAAGTTATTCATATGGCAGATAGCATGTGGAGACTTGGCCGTCATCCCTTATTTTGCGATCATTATCACCTATAAAGGATGTCCATTGAAGCATAACCAGCCATGTAATCACACTGAATAGTATTGAATGAAAGAAATTTAAATCCACCGAAATCAAAAACTATGTACAAACCGAATGCCTAGTACAGCTCCAACTGGCTAAGTGCCTATTCACCTGGTAGTATAATCCAAGTCTTTTAAACCTCTCAAGCAACACCATATCAATATACACAACTCACGTCTGTCAAACAAAATCATGTGAATCACTGTGAAACATTCAATACACTTTCACCGGGCTACTACACAGACTAGTGCTGAACTGTGCAATGCTGTCTTATACCTCTCTGATATTAAAGGCAATTAGATATATTTCTTGTCAATACAACAACAGAAATATAGTTTAACCAACCCTTGTGTACATTAAGTGTCACTTGTGTATTATATATGGGAGGTAACACATGTTATCTACAGCTATGACACAACGGATTCCTTCTCTAAGGATACCAGATCAATTCCTGGCAGCTCTCCAAACAAGGTGAAAAAAGAACTTTTGGGTACAGAGATCTGACTAATTCAATATTGTATAGAAAAGACTAGAGCAAGTGGAGAGACAACACCATATAGAACACTTTCTTTAGGGTAAACCACACATTTACAGAAATTTCCCAAGACAAATGGGTAAATCAGTAAATGAGATGTATTCATAGATGATTATCTCCTTAACAGGCCAACAGGAAGAATCAAAATTAACTTGTACACGCTGGGAGGAAGCTTTATCTTAATTACTACAGTCTGGGACAAACAATTACCTTACTACAGTGAGACGAAGCATTACCTTACTACAGTCTGAGACAAAGCATTACCTTACTACAGTCTGAGACGAAGCATTACCTTACTACAGTCTGAGACAAATCATTACCTTACTACAGTCTGAGACAAAGCATTACCTTACTACAGTCTGAGACAAAGCATTACCTTAGTACAGTCTGAGACAAAGCATTACCTTACTACAGTCTGAGACAAAGCATTACCTTACTACAGTCTGAGACAAAGCATTACTTTACCACAGTCTGAGACAAAGCATTACTTTACCACAGTCTGAGACAAAGCATTACTTTACCACAGTCTGAGACAAAGCATTACTTTACCACAGTCTGAGACAAAGCATTACTTTACCACAGTCTGAGACAAAGCATTACCTTACCACAGTCTGAGACAAAGCATTACTTTACCACAGTCTGAGACAAAGCATTACTTTACCACAGTCTGAGACAAAGCATTACCTTACTACAGTCTGAGACAAAGCATTACTTTACCACAGTCTGAGACAAAGCATTACTTTACCACAGTCTGAGACAAAGCATTACCTTACTACAGTCTGAGACAAAGCATTACTTTACCACAGTCTGAGACAAAGCATTACTTTACCACAGTCTGAGACAAAGCATTACTTTACCACAGTCTGAGACAAAGCATTACCTTACTACAGTCTGAGACAAAGCATTACTTTACCACAGTCTGAGACAAAGCATTACTTTACCACAGTCTGAGACAAAGCATTACCTTACTACAGTCTGAGACAAAGCATTACTTTACCACAGTCTGAGACAAAGCATTACCTTAGTACAGTCTGAGACAAAGCATTACCTTACTACAGTCTGAGACAAAGCATTACTTTACCACAGTCTGAGACAAAGCATTACTTTACCACAGTCTGAGACAAAGCATTACCTTACTACAGTCTGAGACAAAGCATTACCTTACTACAGTCTGGGACAAAGCATTACCTTACTACAGTCTGAGACAAAGCATTACCTTACTACAGTCTGAGACCTTACCTTACTAAAGGCTGGGATAAAGTCCAACATTACAATAAAACTTTATCTCTGACAAAGAAACTTGTACGCTAGCATGACCAATGCTATACACCAAGTTGGTCCTATCATAAATATTACATTAGTTAGTTTTTGCCGTCATTAAAATGTCATGTCTAGAGGAAAATTTGGCTTCTATACAAGCTGGAATAAAGAAACTTGATGATATAAATTTTTGACAATGTGCAGTGTACCAAAGTCTCAACTTGCAGTCTTTGTCCTTTTCCCAACCCTTTCTTCACCTTAGCCATTTCCTTCCTGACCTTCAACCAACCCTTTTCTGACCTTCACTAAGCCTATTCTGGACTTTTGCCTATACAATATAGGACTTTCACCCAGCCCCGACTAAAGATTGGATACATACCAGATCCAAGGGAGTCACCAGACTCTGGGCTAATGTCATCAGATTCCTCTACACCTCTGCGTTTTTGTCGGATCATGGCACGATGACGTGTAGCTCTTCGAGACGATGAAAGCGGAGGGTAAGCACTTGGTCCAACACCCCTGGAATGAGAGATTGACTTGTATATGGCAGTTCCTATATAGAGCTCTGTCTTACTCAATAGCACCAGCAAACATAGGCTCCAACATGCTATCTTATTGGAACATTTATTTACTGAAATACAGAGGTTGACCCCAGAGTATCATTAAATGTCATTTTATGAAACATGCAGTTCCTTCAAGTGAAACATAATGTTATTTCACTTTCATTTCTCAAGTCAAGGCATTGATTGTCCAATTTCTGTTTGAATGATGTATTCGTGTTACTGCAATCCAATACATTTAATGATACAAAAGTCATACACCAGTAATATTCCTGTTCAGGCCTCAATGGTTCTTGCTTGTTACCAGATTCAAACCAAACCATGCGAAATCATCATGTTATGTAATACTAGTTGTATTATCAAAACTATCGCCAAGCACTTGAAATTATTCTAAAATCAATACTCAATGTCACCAATAACACAATACAGCCTAAGCCAAGGTTACCACGACCAATTCAACATCTACTAGTATGGTACAATAGATAGCCTCAATCATTGCCTTTGGTCTGTATCTAGGATATATGTCTACAATCTGTCACTCCTACAGGTGAGCTGACTAGTCTGCCACTTGTACAGACAGACTATTGTAAGCAAGGTGAGCTGACTAGTCTGCCACTTGTACAGACAGACTACTGTAAGCAAGGTGAGGTGACTAGTCAGTCACTTGTACAGGCAGACTTCTGTAAGCCAGGTGAGGTGACTAGTCTGTCATTTGTCCAGACAGTGTAAGTCAGGTGGGCTGACTAGTCAGTAACTTGTACAGCAGTGTAAGTCAGGTGGGCTGACTAGTCAGTAACTTGTACAGCAGTGTAAGTCAGGTGGGCTGACTAGTCAGTAACTTGTACAGCAGTGTAAGTCAGGTGGGCTGACTAGTCAGTAACTTGTACAGCAGTGTAAGTCAGGTGGGCTGACTAGTCAGTAACTTGTACAGGCAGACTTGTAACCTGACTAGTGTCCAGCAATACCTAACGATGTGTAGAACTTTATGTTCCTAAACTGTGGTGTAACCTGACTAGTGTTCAGTAATAACTAACGATGTGTAGAACTTTATGTTCCTAAACTGTGGTGTAACCTGACTAGTGCCCAGCAATAACTAACGATGTGTAGAGCTTTATGTTCCTAAACTGTGGTGTAACCTGACTAGTGTCCAGCAATAACTAACGATGCGTAGAGCTTTATGTTCCTAAACTGTGGTGTAACCTGACTAGTGTTCAGCAATAACTAACGATGTGTAGAGCTTTATGTTCCTAAACTGTGGTGTAACCTGACTAGTGTTCAGCAATAACTAACGATGTGTAGAGCTTTATGTTCCTAAACTGTGGTCAGAAAGACAAGAATATTATATATATCAATATATTACATAATGTTGCAAGAAATACAGCCTTAATGTTCCTGACAAAGTGAATGAGACAGAAAAATCTAAGACAGGGTAGCACATGTGATTTCCCTGTCTCTTTAACAAGAAAAAGTTATTTGAGTTTACACAAAGTCATTGACACCTGACACGGTCGGCGATGTATTGGTGTGGTCAGTGGTTATTATCCTCTAGTAACTACAGGGTGTTTTGTGTTACACCCATACTATGTTTACCCAACCCTACCTATATTATTATTATATAAACAATATCTAGTCATAAACACAGGTGATAAATTCTTGTCAAGCATTCTATATTGAGATAAAAATTTCACACAGCCTATTTATGACATATAAAACAGCTCAAATTCAATCAACTCATTAATATACTTGCCTTCAACTACATGTACTACATTTTACACTAGGATTTTGACAAAAAGGAATTTTTTGTATATTGGTGTCTGTCTTCAGTTTGCTATGATAATTCTGTGAGAAGTTGACAGGAATGAACAGTAAGCACAACACCTTGTGTTACAGCCATTACACCATGGCAAGTGCTTCTATAAATCATGATATTAACCAGAAAGTGACATTTACTGGAGTTAAAATATAATTAATAGCAAGTAACTGTTCTAGTGTCTAGTGATGTTCAGTAAATATCATATGTGATGTTCTGACGAGTTTAGTGAGGAGTCAATGTTCAGCAGTGATGTTCTGACCAATGTTCAGCAGTGATGTTCTGACCAGTTCAGTGTGGAGTCAATGTTCAGCAGTGATGTTCTGACCAGTTCAGTGTGGAGTCAATGTTCAGTAGATATCCTTTGTGATGTTCTGACCAGTTTGGTGTGGAGTCAATGTTCAGTAGATATCCTTTGTGATGTTCTAACCAGTTCAGTGTGGAGTCAATGTTCAGTAGATATCCTTTGTGATGTTCTGACCAGTTTAGTGTGGAGTCAATGTTCAGTAGTGATGTTCTTACCAGTTTAGTGTGGAGTCAATGTTCAGCAGTGATGTTCTGACGAGTTCAGTGTGGAGTCAATGTTCAGCAGTGATGTTCTGACGAGTTTAGTGAGGAGTCAATGTTCAGCAGTGATGTTCTGACGAGTTTAGTGTGGAGTCAATGTTCAGCAGTGATGTTCTGACCAGTTCAGTGTGGAGTCAATGTTCAGTAGTGATGTTCTGACCAGTTTAGTGTGGAGTCAATGTTCAGTAGCGATGTTCTGACCAGTTTAGTGTGGAGTCAATGTTCAGTAGTGATGTTCTGACCAGTTCAGTGTGGAGTCAATGTTCAGTAGTGATGTTCTGACCAGTTTAGTGTGGAGTCAATGTTCAGTAGTGATGTTCTGACCAGTTTAGTGTGGAGTCAATGTTCAGTAGTGATGTTCTGACCAGTTTAGTGTGGAGTCAATGTTCAGTAGTGATGTTCTGACCAGTTTAGTGTGGAGTCAATGTTCAGCAGTGATGTTCTGACCAGTTTGGTGTGGAGTCAATGTTCAGCAGTGATGTTCTGACCAGTTCAGTGTGGAGTCAATGTTCAGTAGATATCCTTTGTGATGTTCCAGTTTGGTGTGGAGTCCAGTTCAGTGTGGAGTCAATGTTCAGTAGATATCCTTTGTGATGTTCTGACCAGTTTGGTGTGGAGTCAATGTTCAGTAGTGATGTTCTGACCAGTTCAGTGTGGAGTCAATGTTCAGCAGTGATGTTCTGACCAGTTCAGTGTGGAGTCAATGTTCAGTAGATGTTCTGACCAGTTTGGTGTGGAGTCAATGTTCAGTATATCCTTTGTGATGTTCTATTCAGTGTGGAGTCAATGTTCAGTAGATATCCTTTGTGAGTTTAGTGTGTGGAGTCAATGTTCAGTAGTGATGTTCTGACCAGTTTAGTGTGGGGTCAATGTTCAGTAGTGATGTTCTGACCAGTTTAGTGTGGAGTCAATGTTCAGTAGTGATGTTCTGACCAGTTTAGTGTGGAGTCAATGTTCAGTAGTGATGTTCTGACCAGTTTAGTGTGGAGTCAATGTTCAGTAGTGATGTTCTGACCAGTTTAGTGTGGAGTCAATGTTCAGTAGTGATGTTCTGACCAGTTTAGTGTGGGGTCCATGTAATTATCTTGGCACATAGAATTAATGGAGACAGGTATCACATAGCAAGCTTCCTTTTAATACCAGGATTATTATACATAGTTCTATGTATATGATGTATTACTGTATGAAGTATGGGACTCTGCCAGGGTTCTATCTTGAATGTAAAAATACATCAACAAAACCTCAATCCCATTACCTTCTAACCACGTCTTGTTGGAATTGGCAGCATGTCAAATCCCATACTCCACAATTGATTGACCCCCGGAAAACTGTGACTTTGAAAATGTGCAAATTGATTACTGTCCGTATAAATTGTTTCCATTATAGGCAGATGAAAATCAATTACTGGATATGTAGAACACCATCCAGACGTGAGCACATCTTTTGTGTTTAAAGATCTCTCTCCAACAAATATTCAGCAAAAATAACAATCTAAAACTTTAACCTATATGGTATTGTTAGAAAGGCATTACCAATGGACTGTTAATGTAAACTAGTAGACAAGGATACAGACTGTGTCTCTGGTTCAAATGGTCAGCTTTAAATGTAAGATCACCAGCTCTCACGATTTATTCTCCTTATTGTTAAAGAGTCTATGTCTAGTACATCTCATTGTCATAAGCTACCTGTCCCTCCGACCAAACAATCTGTACTAAAGCAGGGATAATCAAATGGACATTTCCCAGTGAGTAGGGGCCAGATTAACAACTCAATAAATCTAACCCTGTCATACCACCAAATATATCATAAATCTGCCTGCCAATGGACTTAGTAAAGCTCTCATAAAGTTACAATGTCTGTGATCAAAACAAATGACAAAAGAAATTACACAGCTAACGACAGCATGATGTCTGATGTGGTATAATATTCCTACTATGTACAGTTTCACACACTTTGGATTTCTAAACACAACCATATCTGAATCAGTATATTTAATATCATAAAAAATTCATCTCTCAGCACAATTTTCCAGACATTTCTCGTCCAAACTTAAATCACAACAAAATGTAGATAAGATACTAAGATGTAGCAAAAATTTATTTATCATTGAAATAAATTCTTCAAAATTGATGAAGACTTTTTTTTGCTCATTCTAACAATCCCTCAACCCAACCCACCCCCACTCATCCCTTTTCACAAACACATTCACATAATATTCATCAGATTACTTGTATTTTTATGAAATCAAACAGGGTTTAAAATTTTGGGACAAAAAGACACACTTCCAAGCCTCCAAAAGAAGAATAAGACCTAGATTTGACTTCTTTCGTTTTGATTCAGAGTCAGTTTCTACTGTTTGAAAACACTGTCCTAGTCATAACATAAGATATCGCTTAGCCTGGAGGCCTAACTAGAGCTTAAGTCAGAGTTAATAAGGCAGATATCCTCTGTTCTGAACAATAGATATAGGTGAACTGTACACCAAATCCACATGGAATTTTAAAGACCAGTATAAAACTATAAAGTAGCCGGATTAGCTGGTATTAACTTTTCAACACCTCTTGTTACAGTCCCATTTGACACTGCAGGCAGTACTTGTGACATAACACTCTATATGTACATGAAGTCTGTCAGGAGTTGTTTGAGGTAGTCAATTTTAGTTTCTATCCTATCTATCCTGAAACTTGAGCTTGATACTAATAACATATCGTATAATTAACATCTCAATCATTTCTAAATCAAACTGAGAGACAACGTTTAGATATGAGAACAGACTTACTTTAGTCCTGGTTGACCTGGAAACTCCTCAAGTTGCTGGAGTTGTTCCTGAAGTTCCTGGATGGAATCCTGGGAACAGTCACTGGCTCTGCCTACATCCTCCTCCTGAGATGTCAGGACATCAGTCTTAATACCAGGACTTTGTGTGAAGGGTTGGTCAGTCACCTGACCAATAAACTTCTCTGAAGCACTACTGATTGGTGTGAAGATCATATTGCAGGGTAAATCTGTCTGACAACTGGAGTCGTCCTTGGTGTGTTCATCTGGTGTAAGTGCAGCTGCACTCACTACAGTTAATTGCTTATGGTCTGTGACTGGGTGATGACAGGTGGGGGAGGACTCTGTGACACTGATTACATGACCCTGATTGGTGTTGGGGTGGTGTTTGGTAAATTCAGCCTCTGTTTTGCTCAGCTCAGACAAATTACTATCACTGTCGTTTAACTGCAGAGATGCATTAACATGTTGAACAGCATTATCATTGGAGGAATGGTCTTGTGAAAGAGAATTTTCAGGAAAAACCTGACACAAATCCTTTCTGATATGCAAATCCCCTTCAAACTGGTCAGATTCCAAATTCATAGAGTGGCATATGTCTCTATCTGGTGGTCTTAGTACTGGGACAATATCTTCTCTTGAGGAGGTGTCTGAGACAGAGGAATTCAGCTCACCAGGACAGACCACCACAGAAGGCTCACTGACAGAGGAATAAAGCTCACCAGGACAGGTCAACACAGAAGGCTCACTGACAGACAAATCAAGCTCACCAGGACATACCATCAGAGTGGGCTCACTGACAGACGAATCCAGCTCACCAGGACAGACCATCAGAGTGGGCTCACTGACAGACGAATCCAGCTCACCAGTACATGCCATTAGAGTGGGCTCACTGACAGATGAATCCAACTCATCAGGACAGATCACCACAGAGGGCTCACTGACAGACGAATCCAGCTCACCAGGACATACCATTAGAGTGGGCTCACTGACAGATGAATCCAACTCATCAGGACAGATCACCACAGAGGGCTCACTGACAGAAGAATCAAGCTCACCAGGACATACCATCAGAGTGAGCTCACTGACAGATGACTCTAGCTCACCAGGACAGACCACCACAGAGGGTTCACTGACAGATGGATCAAGCTCACCAGGACAGACCATAAGAGTGGGCTCACTGACAGATGAATCCAGCTCACCAGGACAGATCACCTCAGAAGGCTCACCGACAGATATATCCAACTCACCAGGACATACCATTAGAGTGGGCTCACTGACAGACGAATCCAGCTCACCAGGACAGATCACCTCAGAAGGCACACTGACAGATGAATCCAACTCACCAGGACATACCATCAAAGTGGGCTCACTGACAGACGAATCCAGCTCACCAGGACAGATCACCCCAGAAGGCTCACTGACAGACAAATCCAGCTTACCAGGACAGACTACCACAGAGGACTCACTGACAGATGAATCCAGCACACCAGGACAGGCCAACACAGAGGGCTCACTGACAGACAAATCCAGCTGACCAGGACAGACTACCACAGAGTGCTCACTGACAGATGAATCCAGCTCAACGGGACAGGTCAACACAGAACCTAGATTGTCAGGGTGGACCACCACAGAAGGCTCACTGCCAGAGGACTCACGCTCAACATGACAGACCACTACAGGAGGTTCACTGACAGGCATATCCAGTTCAATAGGACAGACCACCACAGAGGACTCATTGACTGAGGAATCCAGCTCACCCGGACAGGACACCACAGAGGGCTCACTGACAGTATTAGGTATTGAACAAATGTTTACTTCACTTCTGGATAAAGTTTTATCTCCAACTTTGTAATATGTTGCAGGTGTTGAAATATTTGTTTGAGATAAGTTTGGCCTTTGGTCTTCAGTTTCTCTTTCTAGGTCAATAGTTGAAACTGATTCACACATTTCATGACATTTGCTAGTAGACAATTCATCATTTACACAAGTGTTAGACTCATTGTTTTCACTCTCCTCAGTCTGGGAATTATTTTGTTCCTCTTGTAGAAATCCTGTGTCATTTTGTTCCCCTTGTAGAAATCCTGTGTCTTTTTGTTCCCCTTGTAGAAATCCTGTGTCTTTTTGTTCCCCTTGTAGAAATCCTGTGTCTTTTTGTTCCCCTTGTAGAAATCCTGTGTCATTTGGTTCCCCTTGCAGAAATCCTGTGTCATTTGGTTCCCCTTGCAGAAATCCTGTGTCATTTGGTTCCTCATGTAGAAATCCTGTGTCTAGTTGTTCCTGTTGTTCCTTAGGGTTCAAATCCTCTTCTCTATGGTCAACATCAGAATTCTCCAAAGAATCAGTCAATTCCTGCTCTCTGGCCCAAGGTTGTGACCCGTCCAGAGAATCAGCATCTTCTAAAGAATCTGAGGAATAAGACCTATGAGCACCATCCAAATCTGCTGATATTGTCTTAGCAGTATCTTGTAAAATATCACAGACAACAAATCCACTGGTAGCCTGGAAACTGCGGTTAAAAGTTAATTGAGCATTTAAATTTTGTGTAGAACTTTGTGGAATATTTTGTAATGTTCTTTCCTCTGGAAAATTAATCTCCAATTGCTCTGGACTCATCACATATACATTATCAGAAGACAGATTTTCCTTTTTTTTACACTTAGTTGGTATATCAGTCTGAGAATCCCCAGCGGAATCACCATGTTCTCGTTTTCTCTCAGATTTACCAGAGTCAGATTCTGTGTCCTGGGAAAGGTGAAGGCTGACATCTGTTGGTGAGATTAGACTACTTTCCATGATGTCAGACTCATCAGAATTACCTGTAAATGCTAAGTTTTCATTGTTCATATCTGGATCCATTTTGCATGATGCAGAAAAATTTGTATCACAATCCAGAGCCACAGCCCCAAGCAATCCAGTGTGAGGCACGGATCCTTGTGGATCCTGTTCAGAACCAATACTTGTCCTACCCTGAAAGTTGTTAGTGGAATCAGCAAAGGAAAGTGCTCCCGAGCTCTCAAAATTATCTGAACTTTCTGGGTAAAAGCCGGAGTCACTGTCTAATTCGACTGATCTTCCCACTTGTTCCTGTTGATATGCAAGGTCATTGCTGAACACACTATCATCCACATTACATGGTTTATTTTCCAACATGTGTGATAATTCCACTTGTTGTGTAGCACCATCACACACTGAGTTTACATTGCACTGGTTGTCGGTAGGTCTCCCTGGACCATCTACTGAGGAGCCCAGACTGTAATCCACAGGTTCCTGGACTGGATGCTCTCCTGCTATGGAGTCCGAAATGCTACTGCTATGCTGCCTAGCCCAAATCTGTTCATCAGGTGAGTCCTTATGAAGCAAGATAACTGGTATTTCTATACCACCCTCCATTTCTTGTGAATATTTTTCAAAAGCATCAGCCAGTGATTCTCCAACAGGCTCAGAATGTCTCCGGGTGTCGTCCTCATCAAACTGACGCTTCTTCCGCCTACGGACAACAGGAGATTCTGAGACTTGGCTTTGATCTATAGCCTCTACCTCCTCACTTGCTGCCTCAGGGACACTGGCTAGGGAGGTAGCACTGGTTATCGGTCTAAGTTTGGTAGGTGGGAGGCGTGGTAACTTGTTGTTAGAGAGGCCTCTATTTAAGGACAGTGTAGGTTGTGAAACACTTTGTCGAAGTCGTGGAAACACACCGGACTCATCAGTATCGTGCCTCATTTGTTTAGTTACTCCCGGTGCCTGACCAGATAACCCATCAAAGCCTGTCTTTTCCTTTTCAAGTTTTTCCGTTTTGCTGGATTGTTCAGACCGCAATGGTTTGTGTCTGTTTTGTGATGGTGTAGCTTGTTTCTTTGGTGATGGACTTACATGTTTTCCTGGGGGAGGTGTAGTCTGTCGCCCAGATAATGATACAGTTGATCTACCAGGCGATGGTGATTTTGACTTCCTTAAGTTTGTGGGTTTTCCATCCTCTTTACCTTTCTTACTTTCAGCACTCATTACTTTCTTAGAATCTTGTTTCCTTACTGAAGTAGATTTAGGCACCACTTTTGATTTCTGTTTAGGTTCATATTTGAATTTCGGTGGAGGAGCAGTATACAGTCGACTTGTGACTTCCTTTGCACCAGAAGTCAATTTTTCTGAAGCTGGACTCTTACTGGACCGTTTCCGTGTTTCTACAGGAGCACTTACAGAACTCTGTGATGATGGGGAGGTGTCCATGCTTTCCATACTGTCTGGTACTGAGTCCAAGGATGTGATGTTGAGAGAAGAGCTGAGGGACAGTCTAGTAGACAAGGACGGAAGGTCCCCCTCACTACCTTGCTTCAAAGCCAGCAGGCTAGATGCACGAAAGGGGAAGCCTAGGCTAGATGTCTGATTGTCAGTTAGAACTTCTTCACTGCAGGCAGACCTGAGGGGACGTGGAACATCCAAACCGACCTGCATCAAACACTGCTTCTCCTCTATATACAAATGTAACTGCTCCTGCTGCCGGTCTAGTTGAGTAAGGTCATCATTCTGTAAGGATACAAAAATGAGGAGTAAACTTACAAAATCAACATCATTTAAGACTACTGATGAAAAGATCCATTTATCATGTCAAATGTTCTGACATATCTTAAATAAATGAAAATTGTGTAAATGATGCATGATAACCATTTTCTATACAATGTATCACATATCTTCTAAGTAATGTGTCACAAGTGTGCTGTACTCTCACCTATCTAACTAACCTAGATTTACTTATCTCACTAACAAGTGTGCTGTACTCTCACCTATCCAACTAACCTAGATTTACTTATCTCACAAACAAGTATGCTGTACTCTCACCTATCTAACTAACCTAGATTTACTTATCTCACAAACAAGTGTGTTGTACTCTCACCTATCCAACTAACCTAAATTTATTTATCTCACAAACATTTGTCTTTACACTAAGCGTTGTTCAGTGTTGACTACAGATATAGGTTATTATCTATCTATTAATAACCAAATAAGGTAATCACAATCTCCACGAGTCAAGCTTTCTTTGGTGTCTTGCTGTCACATCGTCCATGCACCAGTTGATACAAACTGATGCCCTAACTGTATTGTATATAGTAGCACAGAATGTTCGCATGAAGTGTTTCACTATACATTTTGGTGAGATAACTGTGCAAAGACTGATTGTTGTAAACATCAATGAGACTGGTTGTTGTAAACATTAATGAGACTGGTTGTTGTAAACATTAATGAGACCGATTGTTGTAAACATCAATGAGACTGATTTTTGTAAACACCAATGAGACCGATTTTTGTAAACACCAATGAGACTGATTTTTGTAAACACCAATGAGACCGATTTTTGTAAACACCAATGAGACTGACTGTTGTATGATTTTTGTAAACACCAAGGAGCTGATTTTTGTAAACACCAAGGAGCTGTTTTTGATGCATAATAAATCCATAATTATTAGTCTTAATCCAAATACTGCCAAATGATATCATGAAGTTTGTCAACACTCACTTCTTCGGTGCGGTATCTAGTGTAGAGAAGAACAAATGAAATAAGTAATTTCTTACAAGTTGAACATGTAAGTGTTTCAAAAGATAACCCTACTGCAATCAACATATTTTTCATTGTCCCAAACTGCCTATACCAAGAGGTAGTTTCCTGTCTTGCTAGTTCCTATCACATTTCTAAACATTTTTCAAAATCTTATTCTGGTCAACTTTTCTTTATAATCATAGAATGATTGAAGAAAGCATTTTCCAGTAAATCATACAATATTACTTGATGATCTGTAGCACATTCCGTAAAATTCAGATATGTTCCTCTTTCTGTTTACAGTAATGGTGACTTCTGAACATAAAATAACATCGTGAGCTAACACTTCCTGTAAATAAATAACACAGAATGTCTGAGGGTAATTATCTGAACACACTTTAAACTATTTTGCAGGAATCAATTATCTTTTTATAGTAACAGTATTCCTGACTTTGACCTGAGGATGGAAAATCCCTCCCACTTAAATGCTTCCTTCAAAGAAGCACTAGGTGAAAATGGAGTGCAATTGGCCCAAAAGAACTTCAGAAATTGCCTGAAACCAAATACTGAGACAGAGACAACCTGATTACTAAAGGGCACCCACATCATTTAAAAATAAGCACCATCTAAATAATACATTGCAATTTTCTAAACTTGCATTCTTTTAAAAAAAATGCTCTCTTCCTTTCCCAGTCCAGTGCAAGCAACATGATCAGTTTTCCTTAATTAATGAAGCTTAAGTTCTTCATGAAAGTGGAAGTGACGAAGGCTTCTGCAAACACTAGATCCAATAAAATCCATTTGTTAGGCAGATGGTAGTTCATATTGTCCTTAGAGTAACCATGGTTACAGAAATATTTACCTGTAAATATCTGGAGAATATTGTGTAATGACCGTTAATTATCTGTTTTTCAGCTTCAATACAAGGTATGGTCGAGTCCTGTGATTTTGTTAAGCAGGAATTACCCTTACTAACCATGGTTCCAGTAATATTTACCTGTATGTCTGAGTTCTATGAAATCACCAATAATCAACTCCAAGTATTTATAGATATTCTAGCCCGATGATTATTTATCTATACAGCTTACAGAAACCTCATCGTGTCTATCTAACCTGTAGCTCCATTACAGACCAGCACCTGTCAGTCCATCAGAGCCTGAACAAACTATTGATCTTACTATAGCTACTTTACAGCCCACATACAAAATCATGATTAACAAAGGTGGTCAGATATTACAGGTATTATACACTTTCACACACATATTTTATTGACAAGAGTAATTAGCTGATACCTGTTGTGTCTAATATCTGCCAGGTCAGGGGAGGTGACTCTTACTGAGATTAACAATCACTATTGTTACGCAAGTCCATTTACCTATCTTCATTCATATTAAGATCAGGTCTCTCCATCTCACAAACAGAAATGTGATGTAGAAACAGAAATGTGATGTAGTGTATAAAATATCAACACTATATCACAAACAGAAATGTGATGTAGTGTATAAAATATCAACACTATATCACAAACAGAAATGTGATGTAGAAACAGAAATGTGATATTGGAGTATACATCAACTTCTGTTAACTGCCCTATATTTAACCAAACATGTACTGTTCTGTACTTGCCTTGTATCTAAACCATACATGTACTGTTCTGTACTTGACAGCTGTCCAATGATGGGAAACCCTTATCTACCTCCTATATACAATGGTACCTACCATACATGTTATGTCCTAAAACTGACTGTGGCCCCAAGAGTGGTGACCCTTTTCTACCTCCTATGTACAATGGTACCTACCATACATGTTATGTCCTAAAACTGACTGTGGTCCCAAGAGTGGTGACCCTTTTCTACCTCCTATGTACAATGGTACCTACCATACATGTTATGTCCTAAAACTGACTGTGGTCCCAAGAGTGGTGACCCTTTTCTACCTCCTATATACAATGGTACCTACCATACATGTTATGTCCTAAAACTGACTGTGGCCCCAAGAGTGGTGACCCTTTTCTACCTCCTATATACAATGGTACCTACCATACATGTTATGTCCTAAAACTGACTGTGGTCCCAAGAGTGGTGACCCTTTTCTACCTCCTATGTACAATGGTACCTACCATACATGTTATGTCCTAAAACTGACTGTGGTCCAAAGAGTGGTGACCCTTTTCTACTGTCTATACCCAATGATACTTACCGTGCGAGTAATGTCTTGTAACTGACTGCGGTCCTCAGAGCGGTAACCTTTCTCTACCTCCTCAAGTTGGTGCAATTCGGCATTGAGTTGGTCCTGTGTCGTCTGGTATTGTTCTTCAATCTCTTCTGCCTCCTCTAGCAGTCTCTGCTCGGAGTCACGGTAAGAAAGGTGACGGATGAGTTCCCCCTGGGCAAGTGCTTTAATCTGACCTTGCAAGGACTCTTTCTTCCTTTCAATATCCTGAAGGCCCTGGTCACAACCCACATCAGATGTTTGGACCACAACTAACTCAGTCTGTGAACCAAATTCAGACTGTGCTTGCCCTCTCTTGACCTTCGCCAACTCTTCCTGCAGGAATTGCTGGACTGTAGGCAAAGGAGAATGATCTTACAGTATATTTCATAGAATTTTCATTCTTAATAAAAAAAATAAAACTAAAATAAGTATGTACAAACAGTACAATGAATTTTGTGGTAATTATTACATTTTGTAACTATGACACCTGCAGTTCACCTACAGTTCTCTTAATTCTGTAAGTTGTCACCTTTGTACTTTTAGAAATCTTGCCCACCACACCACAGACAATGGTGTGTACCTGTGCTATAGACATCTGCCCTCTACCACCACAGACAATGGTGTGTACCTGTACTATAGACATCTGCCCTCTACCACCACAGACAGTGTGTGTACTTGTGCTATAAACATCTACCCTCTACCACCACAGACAGTGGTGTGTACCTGTACTTTAGACATCTGCCCTCTACCACCACAGACAATGGTGTGTACCTTTACTATAGACATCTGCCCTCTACCACCACAGACAATGGTGTGTACCTGTACTACAGACAGCTGTCCTCTACCACCAGACAATGGTGTGTACCTGTACTGTAGACTTCTACCCTCTACCACCAGACAATGGTGTGTACCTGTACTGTAGACATCTATCCTCTACCACCAGAGACAATGGTGTGTACCTGTACTGTAGACATCTGTCCTCTATCACCACAGACAATGGTGTGTACCTGTACTACAGACAGCTGCCATCTACCACCACAGATAATGGTGTGTACCTGTACTATAGACATCTACCCTCTACCACCACAGACAATGGTGTGTACCTGTACTATAGACATCTGCCCTCTACCACCACAGACAATAGTGTGTACCTGCACTATAGACATCTGACCTCTACCACCACAGACAATGGTGTGTACCTGTACTATAGACATCTACCTCTACCACCAGAGACAATGGTGTGTACCTGTACTATAGACATCTGCCCTCTACCACCACAGACAATGGTGTGTACCTGTACTATAGACATCTACCCTCTACCACCACAGACAATGGTGTGTACCTGTACTATAGACATCTGCCCTCTACCACCACAGACAATGGTGTGTACCTGTACTATAGACATCTGCCCTCTACCACCACAGACAATGGTGTGTACCTGTACTATAGCCATCTACCCTCTACCACCACAGACAATGGTGTGTACCTGTACTATAGACATCTACCCTCTACCCCCACAGACAGTGGTGTGTACCTGTACTATAGACATCTGCCCTCTACCACCACAGATAATGGTGTGTACCTGTACTATAGACATCTGCCCTCTACCACCACAGATAATGGTGTGTACCTGTACTATAGACATCTACCCTCTACCACCACAGACAGTGGTGAGTACCTGTACTATAACTAAAGACATCTGCCCTCTACCACCACAGACAGTGGTGTGTACCTGTACTATAGACATCTGCCCTCTACCACCACAGATAATGGTGTGTACCTGTACTATAGACATCTACCCTCTACCACCACAGACAATGGTGTGTACCTGTACTATAGACATCTGCCCTCTACCACCACAGATAATGGTGTGTACCTGTGCTATAGACATCTACCCTCTACCATCACAGACAGTGGTGTGTACCTGTACTATAGACATCTACCCTCTACCACCACAGACAGTGGTGTGTACCTGTACTATAGACATTTACCCTCTACCATCACAGACAGTGGTGTGTACCTGTACTATAGACATCTGCCCTCTACCACCACAGATAGTGGTGTGTACCTGTACTATAGACATCTACCCTCTACCACCACAGACAGTGGTGAGTACCTGTACTATATCTAAAGACATCTGCCCTCTACCACCATAGACAGTGGTGTGTACCTGTACTATAGACATCTGCCCTCTACCACCACAGATAATGGTGTGTACCTGTACTATAGACATCTACCCTCTACCACCACAGACAATTGTGTGTACCTGTACTATAGACATCTGCCCTCTACCACCACAGATAATGGTGTGTACCTGTGCTATAGACATCTACCCTCTACCATCACAGACAGTGGTGTGTACCTGTACTATAGACATCTACCCTCTACCACCACAGACAATTGTGTGTACCTGTACTATAGACATCTGCCCTCTACCATCACAGATAATGGTGTGTACCTGTGCTATAGACATCTGCCCTCTACCACCACAGATAATGGTGTGTACCTGTACTATAGACATCTACCCTCTACCATCACAGATAATGGTGTGTACCTGTACTATAGACATCTGCCCTCTACCACCACAGATAATGGTGTGTACCTGTACTATAGACATCTACCCTCTACCACCACAGACAGTGGTGAGTACCTGTACTATATCTAAAGACATCTGCCCTCTACCATCACAGACAGTGGTGTGTACCTGTACTATAGACATCTACCCTCTACCATCACAGATAATGGTGTGTACCTGTACTATAGACATCTACCCTCTACCACCACAGATAATGGTGTGTACCTGTACTATAGACATCTACCCTCTACCATCACAGATAATGGTGTGTACCTGTACTATAGACATCTACCCTCTACCATCACAGACAGTGGTGTGTACCTGTACTATAGACATCTACCCTCTACCATCACAGACAGTGGTGTGTACCTGTACTATAGACATCTGTCCTCTACCATCACAGACAATGGTGTGTACCTGTACTATACAATGAACTTACATGCTTCTTTTTCCTGCTGTAGACAGTCACGAGCATATGCCAGTTCCTCCTCAGCTATCTGATGTTGGGTAAGATTTTCTTTAGCAATCTCACTCAATGACTGTCTCTGTTGTTCAATTTCCTGTTTGTGACTCTCATGTAAACGCCAAAGCTCCTCTTCTCGACGTTGTCTCTCCTCCTCAGCCTTTCGATGTTCCTCACGCACCCGCTGTAGTTCCCGTCTACAGGTAAAAGCAGAGTTTTTTTTTGTTACTCTTTACTTCAATCTTGTCTAAAGGTAAAACGTGCTTAATGCACAGAATCTGTGAGTACTCTCTCTACATCTCAATCTAACAAATTATGTTATCACACTTTACAAAGCTTTGTTTCCAAGTGGCTTTTAGACAGATACATGACAGCCTCTCAATACTCAACACAGGCTTTTACACTCCTCTAAAGCAATCAACAGGTTTATCATGCAGGCAAGCAGAACATTGTGTTTCAATGCTTCACATGCAGACAGGTAAGGTATTGGCTCTATAATCAATAGTCTATTCTTCAGTTTAATCCATCAACAGACAGGTAGTGTATTCTTATCAACAAGAGGCCCATAGGGCCTGTATGGTTCAGCTGGTTTAAATCTCTATAATTGTTTCATCGAAACTAAATATAAAGCATTTGAAATTTTAATATCCATTTTCCCCCTATTGGATCCTTCTCTCTGCTCAATTAAGTTCCTTTTACCAGAGGATGCTTCAGACCAAACTGAGACAAACTTCTGTCTTTCCTAAAGAATAAGAATATTGTTAAAGAATTTGTTGTCTTTCCCCAATTATGGTGACGGATGCCACAGCATGCCATGTGCTATCAAAATGTGTAGGGCAAGCCAAAACAGGTCACACTATATCCAGGTCCAACCAAACATCAGTCACACTTTACCCAGGTCAGACCAAACACAGGTCACACTATACCCAGGTCAGACCAAACACCAGTAACACTCTACCCAGGTCAGACCAAACACAGGTCACACTTCACCCAGGTCAGACCAAACACAGGTCACACTTTACCCAGGTCCAACCAAACACCAGTCACACTATACCCAGGTCAGACCAAACACCAGTAACACTCTACCCAGGTCATCAGACCAAACACAGGTCACACTATACCCAGGTCCAACCAAACACAGGTCACACTATACCCAGGTTGAACCAAACACAGGTCACACTATACCCAGGTCTAACCAAACACAGGTCACACTAAACCCAGGTCAGACCAAACACAGGTCACACTTTACCAAGGTCCAACCAAACAGCAGTCACACTTTACCCAGGTCAGACCAAACACAGGTCACACTATACCCAGGTCCAACCAAACACAGGTCACACTTTACCCAGGTCCAACAAAACAACAAAATTCAGTTAAGATTTCAGGTAGAGTTAAAGGTAAAAGGCAGGTTAAATCTTCAGATATGAATATCCATCTCTACACCAAATCTCACAAATGCAAACTGCACACCATGAAAAAATCTTGACATATTATCACATACAGCCACAGACTGAAGTAGGAATATATTTTGATCTCTACTTCCACATGAATGACTTCCTTCAATGGTAATATTTTCTATTGTCTACTTTTTCCAGTATTCTTAATGCTAGTTAAAAATAAATTTATTCCTCATTAAAACTTGACATTGAGTACAGTGAGCCCTTAGTGATGTGGATAGCTCAACGACAGGCCATCAGTGAGGTTTTGTATCTGCTTTGGCTGTCGAGCATGTTGAAGCTTACTTCCTGACAAAGAGAGTAAGTATCATCCTATCATGGTAGGCAAACATTGGTTTCTTTGTAATCCTCACAACTGACCACCAAAATTAAATGACCACTAATACTGACCAACAACAAAACAATTTTGCCATTATCACACAAAATTACTGCTAAATAGATGTACAAATTATCACAGACTATAATATACTTAACAACTAGAAAATGTCTGTAAGACATGAATGCCCCCGCCTCCCCCATGTGAAATAATAGTGAAAGGTCCGAAAGAGATGATTTTGTTAATTTGTATGCAACTATGTACAACTTAAGTTTCATACTTAAATTGACAAGTTGATTTAACATAAGTATATTAGTTCCTTATGCCTTAAAACCCACAAGTACCAAATTATGTAGAAATAAGATGATGTTCCTTTTTTTTGAGTTATCTCCCCCTGGTGGCCATCTTTTTTTAGAATGCCGAGAAATTCAAGACTGCATGAGGTCTTTCCATACTTGATATTTGTATGAAGTTTCATGAAAATTGCCTTCCGAATGAAGTTGTTAGGTGGTATATACTGATGCCCACGGCCATAAATGGCTGAGGCATTAAAAAAGAAACACACAAACTTCCACCCTACATTACACCTTAGCTGCAAGGAAATAATGGAATATTTGGTCAGGTATTACATCAAGAATTATCTCCCTTCTCAATAATCTACCCTAAAACCAGCCAAGTGTGACAATGTCATTGTGTGACTTTGTGAGTTTCTTTAGTCGAAATCATGTGGCATGATCAAGCCAAGCCAGATTTTTTCAAACGAATATTTCAACAGATACTCCAAGTTCAGCCTAATTAATTTTCCATTTTGATTTCACTATTGACCAAGATGCCATGCTTACGGCAGACCTAGAGGGGTAGCAATTGCGATGACGATAGATGGTCATAGCCAAACTGCTGTTGCACAAGTAAATAGTGAAGGAAGAATACCTGAACAAGTCAACAGTGGAGGAAGAATACCTGAACAAGTCAACAGTGGAGGAAGAACACCTGAACAAGTCAACAGTGGAGGAAGAACACCTGAACAAGTCAATAGTGGAGGAAGAATACCTGAACAAGTCAACAGTGGAGGAAGAATACCTGAACAAGTCAACAGTGGAGGAAGAATACCTGAACAAGTCAACAGTGGAGGAAGAATACCTGAACAAGTCAACAGTGGAGGAAGAATACCTGAACAAGTCAATAGTGGAATACCTGAAGTCAATAGTGGAGGAAGAACCTGAACAAGTCAACAGTGGAGGAAGAAAACAACTGAAAGAGTCAACAGTGGAGGAAGAATACCTGAACAAGTCAACAGTGGAGGAAGAACACCTGAACAAGTCAAAGTGTCAGTGGAGGAAGAAAACCTGAACAAGTCAACAGTGGTCAACAGTGGAGGAAGAATACCTGAAAGTGTCAACAGTGGAGGAAGAATACCTGAACAAGTCAACAGTGGAGGAAGAATACCTGAACAAGTCAACAGTGGAGGAAGAATACCTGAACAAGTCAACAGTGGAGGAAGAACACCTGAACAAGTCAACAGTGGAGGAAGAATACCTGAACAAGTCAACAGTGGAGGAAGAATACCTGAACAAGTCAACAGTGGAGGAAGAACACCTGAACAAGTCAACAGTGGAGGAAGAACACCTGAACAAGTCAATAGTGGAGGAAGAATACCTGAACAAGTCAATAGTGGAGGAAGAACACCTGAACAAGTCAATAGTGGAGGAAGAACACCTGAACAAGTCAATAGTGGAGGAAGAATACCTGAACAAGTCAATAGTGGAGGAAGAACACCTGAACAAGTCAACAGTGGAGGAAGAATACCTGAACAAGTCAACAGTGGAGGAAGAATACCTGAACAAGTCAACAGTGGAGGAAGAACACCTGAACAAGTCAATAGTGGAGGAAGAACACCTGAAAGTGTCAACAGTGGAGGAAGAACACCTGAAAGTGTCAACAGTGGAGGAAGAATACCTGAACAAGTCAATAGTGGAGGAAGAACACCTGAAAGTGTCAACAGTGGAGGAAGAATACCTGAACAAGTCAATAGTGGAGGAAGAACACCTGAAAGTGTCAACAGTGGAGGAAGAATACCTGAACAAGTCAACAGTGGAGGAAGAATACCTGAACAAGTCAACAGTGGAGGAAGAATACCTGAACAGTTGATGGTATATGAGGTGTGCCTTCACAAATTGTACATTGAGTTTTCTTATGAAATTTCAGGGGAGGTTTATGAGCTCTTATAAAATATTCATGAAAAACATTACTTTACCAATAAACTGTTCTTTTGTATCTTATTTGCATTTTTATACAAATTATAGAACTTGGCGGTAAAAAGTCTGTCTGGTGTTGTATACAGGTGTCATTCCTGCTTGTATTCTGGAACAATCTTCTATAAAGAATTTATGCCATACCAGATGGTTCTCCAGTAACATTTCTCATTCATTAAAGATGGGAAACAAGGCATTCATATATATTATATATATATAGATGTGTGGTCAAGGATCAATATGGTTACCATAGCAACACATAATACTGGTAGTAGTTTAGAGGCTATCATCACCTACCTAATCATGATCTGCCATACATCTGAGTCATACAGATCATAGATTATTGTTATTACAAGAGAAAAAAACTCCATTTTGTTGTCACGGAAACCTACCTTCTCTGTACTGACAGTTCCATCCAGTCAGGAAGAGAAGTTGTTTACATTATTGCCATGGATACCTACCTTTCCATTACTATTGCTATGGATACCTTTTACCCTGTAGCTGACAGTTCCACACAGTCGAATAGAGACTCTCCATATATTATTGCTATGGATACCTACCTTGCTCATGCTGTCAGCTCTGTATTTTTGGGTAGAAAAAATCAAAATTCAATTAATATGGAAACCTACCTTCCTGCTGCTGACAGTACTACAGCGTTTGGAAAAGAAAATGCATAACTCAATACCATCAGTTTCTTCATCCTTGGGGATAGCAGATATGTTGGGTGTTGTCTGCTTGTTGAGGTACTACCTCAAACAAGCTTAAACATCTCTTCATTAAACACATTGTGGGTCATAATGTCAAAGGTTACAGAGGTCACAAAATCTCAAGGTCAAAGTAGATGGGAAATCTACTTATGAAATGTCACAACCTTTAGACAGTGTATAAAACTGTTGTCTTCTCATTCTCAAGCGAATATCTCAGGAGCCACAGCCAAGATAATTCTATAATCCTCAGAAACCGAAGAGTAACAAAGTGTTCCTGTAACACTGACAGGCCAGTAGGGTCAGGTTTTACACGTGTTAAGGAACTGCAAGGTGTTACCGTCATTGTTGATTATCTCTCTCCATTTTGACCACCTTTACAAAGTCAACAACACCCCATGATAACCCCGTCAAGTATCCTGACATCTTATGTAGGTTGTTGACAGTTGGCCAAATGACATGCATAATCCCTTTGATACACACCAACTGTAGTACCCACACACACACACCCATATGTACCAGTACCTATGTGGACAGGGACAGAGCATGTGTTATTGGCATGATATACACCATCAGTCACATCGGGTAGGCCTGACACACCATGTACACAAGCTAGGCTAAACACCATCTACAGACACAGTCCATATCTCAGTCCAGGACTTAAAAGTTCAGCAGTTAAAGTTAGCTATGAAAAGTCATTACATCAATATGTTGATAGAGACTTATCAAAATCCAATACTTCAATATACAGAAACCAGATCCATTAATGTAAATATCCCAATACATATATGTGATATCTTGCTAAGGTGGTTATCAGGTCTTGTTTGTGTATGCTGCTGTGAAGATAAATCGTGATGGTTCATCATAAATATCTTAATGAATTCAAATCAATAGGAAGAAAGACCAAGCTCCCAGTGGTTATGTCCTGTGAACTTTAAATAGCTTAGCTACCTGTACTGACTACACAGGTAAATAATGCCAGGTAAATCTTACAGAATCCTAAACCTGAGTTTATAACAACATGTAGTAACATCTGAGATGTTAAAATGTCAGATAATTATCCAATGAATACCCACTGGTGTACTCTTATCCATTATGCTGTGTGAAGTCAGCTACATACATGTTCATACATCTGTTTATCACAACAATAAACTTCATTGTTTCTAAACCTATACTTCTAATATTTCTCTATTCACTGGAAATAAATCATTTGTTAGTAAAACAAATGAACTTATTACTTATCATAACAGTTCTGATCTCAACAGAAAAAAAAGTCTTTATTCACAAACTTGCAGGCACCTGTTAGGTATACAAATCTATATTTGTTTAATCACTCATGTGTATCCTATTTTATAACTGTATAATGAACATTTTCTTCTGTTATCTACACAATCCCTGACAGACTCTGATGTTTTAAAGATATTTTTACATTATTTTATTTAAATGTTTTTGAAGTTCTGTCAATAACATACACTGTATTTACTTTGTTCACATATATCAGTTACATTGTAATATGGGTAGGGTAGAATGATTTTTAGCAGCAAACTCATGATAAGAAAATCTCAAAGAGATCCCCCTCAAGACCACACCATCTAAAAGATATCTCTCTCAGGACCACACCATCTCAAAGATATCTCTCTCAGCACCACACCATCTCAAAGATATCTCTCTCAGGACCACACCATCTCAAAGATATCTCTCTCAGGACCACACCATCTCAAAGATATCTCTCTCAGGACCACACCATCTCAAAGATCTCTCTTTCAGGACCACACCATCTCAAAGATATCTCTCTCAAGACCACACCATCTCAAAGATATCTTTCTCAGGACCACACCATCTCAAATAGATCTCCTTCAGGACCACATCATCTCAAACAGATCCCCCCTCAGGACCACACCATCTCAAAGATATCTCTCTCAGGACCACATCATCTCAAACAGATCCCCCCTCAAGACCACAACATCTCGAAGTGATCTTCTTCAGGACAACATCTCAAAAAGGTCTCTCTCTTCATCTGAACATTTCTAAGAGATCTCACCCTCAGGAACACAACATTTTAAAGAGATCTCCCTGAGTGTCACAGATTCTCAAACCTAGATTTATTTTCCATTAAGACAGGAAGAGGTTTCACTACTTACAAAGGACAAACATGGGAGGACTGAGACCAAGTGGTATAGTAACCACCTGATGCCCAACACAGATCTGAATCCGGACAACACCAAGGGGTTTTACTTCTAATAAAAACAAAAGTATAGACTGAAACCGTCACATATTCATAACAGTTATGAGCCTAATGCAGACATACTAATCCATGTTGGTCCAAATTTTCCCGAAACTTAGTCTAGAGCTATAGACTCAGACGATAGAAGTATACAACAGGTCAAAGAGGTCAGAGAGGTAAGATATTTGACCTGTCACCATCCCTTCGAATGTTTGACTTGGTATAGGTCTATAGGAGTCCCTTCATATTGCAGAAGTTATGTATGATACAGAATATGTCACTCCACTTAATATAAAATATTATTAAGATAAAATTTTATCTTGTGTAGCTGCTGGTGTTAATATAGTAAATATTGATCTGTTGCCAAATATGTTTACTAATTACACTAAGTGAGATCAATGACTACCTCTGTATCAGCAACATAAAGATCAAATAACCTGCATCTAGAGAAGAATATGAGGTTTCACCTGCCTGTAGAGTAAGATTTCTACATCATTCAAGTATCATTTATTCAAATGTTGCTATACCTGTTCAGATGGGACATCAGAGGTTTAATTAACTGGATATGTAGTTACAGACAGACAATACTACAGGCCCTGCATAAACAGCTTAATCTAATGGAAACACAGATGTAGACAGACTACAGGCCCCTGTGTAAGGAGAGAGATCCATACACTACAGGCCCCTGTGTAAGGAGAGAGATCCATACACTACAGGCCCCTGTGTAATCATTTATCATTGATTTAGTACTTAATAATCAGATACCATTCATGGAGAATACTTACTTGGCTTCCTCAATGCGTTTAGGGTCAGAGTCAAAATCCTTTTCAAGTTGGTGGCTGAAACAGAGAGGGAAGCATGCACATGCTGGGTTTCAATGTGAGCTTATCAAACAATAACATACTAATGTTTCAATTCAAACATGCAATGCACACAACTTATAAGTACCCAAAGGGTCCCTTCCTTATAATTAAATGATACATGACAGAATTTCCTTCACATAGTATGGATTGTGTTCACCCATTTACTTAATTTGTGTTGTGTTCCTGGGTTGTGTTCCACCATTTACTTAATTGGTGTTGTGTTCCTGGGTTGTGTTCCACCATTTACTTAATTTGTGTTGTGTTCCTGGGTTGTGTTCACCCATTTACTTAATTTGTGTTGTGTTCCACCATTTACTAAATTTGTGTTGTGTTCCTGTGTTGTGTTCACCCATTTACTTATTTTGTGTTGTGTTCCACCATTTACTTAATTTGTGTTGTGTTCCTGGGTTGTGTTCCACCATTTACTTAATTTGTGTTGTGTTCCTGGGTTGTGTTCCACCATTTACTTAATTTGTGTTGTGTTCCTGGGTTGTGTTCCACCATTTACTTAATTTGTGTTGTGTTCCTGGGTTGTGTTCACCCATTTACTTAATTTGTGTTGTGTTCCACCATTTACTAAATTTGTGTTGTGTTCCACCATTTACTTAATTTGTGTTGTGTTCCTGTGTTGTGTTCCACCATTTACTAAATTTAGGTTTTATTCCCCATGGGCTTTATTCCTCCATTTATTGGGTCCCTAATCCTTCTTTAATGAGACAACAAAGTTCTCTCCTATTTAAGGTTACACTGTCTCCTAGTTCCCTAACCTCATGTTTTTTCTTTATGATACTATTTGGGGCACCTAATATTGCCCTTTCCTTAATGTAAGTGGCATTTCTCATCTATGAATTTCAGCACATATCCGGAATTTTTTCTTGAAGTCTATGGAAATTTCATCATTCTTGATATGTTACCTCAGATATTTTTTGTCACACTTGCCCTTCCTAAATTTGAGTGACGTTTCTAAATTTTCTCATTATCTTAACAATATGTAGCAAGTTATATCAAATTACATGAAGTTCTTCTGATGATTATTTAAATAAGGTCACATTTCCAACAATTAACCCCCTCCCCCATCATCCTGCCCCAAAAATAATCACAGCATTTACCCCCATTTGTTAGTATGTCTGATGTGAAGTATATCTCTGAATTAAATGATAAACATTTATAGTTGAAACTCATTGTTTCCAAATTGTCCGAGACAGAACGATTCAAGTACAAATGTATTGAATTGAAATTGTTATTACATGTTTTGTTGTTTGGATGAATAACCAATAAAAGGAGAAACTAGAAATTTATTTGTTTATTTACTGCCATTTCAAACAGCAGATTCAACTACACTGTTTGCGTGCTACCATGGCCCTACTTCCTTCAACTGTATTCAACATAAGAAACTCATATCAACCTTATTTATAAACTTCAAAATTCAGGTAAGTCAAAATATTTTCCCCGTCCCCTTGAATTTCGAGATAACGAGTCTCAACTGTAGTGTTATTCTAGGTAAAGGTAAAGTTGATGATACAAAAATCCAGTGACAATTATAATCAGATAGAATGTTTACACACAGAAAGAACAACATCATAACACATACCTAATCACCAATATACAATGTACAACATTCCCTGACATCAGCATACATAACACAAATATCCAGGGAATGAAAAATAGGATGAGATTGATCTTAATTAAAATGAATGTTGATGTCATCTATGTAAATCTTCTATTGAAAACAAAACAATGACAACACAGACTAAATGAAAAGACCAGGTTAGAATGTTAGCAATGCTAGATAGTTCTGTGGGGTAAGGAAAAAAGCGTACAAACCAAACATCAGGTACTGTAAAGCCAGGTATAAGTGGTTAGATTTGGACGAAGATCACTTGACTTTTAATATACTGATGTTTCAAAAGAGCATACTTGACATGTCGATAAAAAGAAAACTGAAAGTAAAGAAGTTATTGACAGATGATGATGATGATGATGGCGACGACGACGATGATGATGACATTGACGATTGGTGACAAAGAAGTTGATGACAAAGGATGTTGATAACAACAGCAGTTGCTGACAGAGGAAATGGATGACAGAAAAGGACAAAGGAATAGGATATCATGACACTGGAAGTTTTTGACATAGGAAATGGATATGAGAGAGAGGTTGGTGACAGAAGTGGGAATGACATAAGAAGTTTGTGACGGAGGAAGTGGATATGACGGAGAGGTTTGTGACGGAGGAAGTGGATATGACAGAGAAATTTGTGACGGAGGAAGTGGATATGACATAAGACAGAGGAAGTGGATATGACAGAGAAACTTGTGACAGAGGAAGTGGATATGACGGAGAGGTTGGTGACAGAGGAAGTGGATATGACAGAAAAATTTGTGACAGAGGAAGTGGATATGACGGAGAGGTTGGTGACAGAGGAAGTGGATATGACAGAGAAATTTGTGACAGAGGAAGTGGATATGACGGAGAGGTTGGTGACAGAGGAAGTGGATATGACGGAGAGGTTGGTGACAGAGGAAGTGGATATGACATAAGAAGTTTGTGACGGAGGAAGTGGATATGACGGAGAGGTTGGTGACAGAGGAAGTGGATGTGACAGAGAGGATGGTGACAGAGGAAGTGGATATGACAGAGAAGTTTGTGACAGAGGAAGTGGATATGACAGAGAAGTTTGTGACAGAGGAAGTGGATATGACATAAGAAGTTTGTGACAGAGGAAGTGGATATGACGGAGAGATTGGTGACAGAGGAAGTGGATATGACAGAGAAGTTTGTGACAGAGGAAGTGGATATGACAGAGAAGTTTGTGACAGAGGAAGTGGATATGACGGAGAGGTTGGTGACAGAGGAAGTGGATGTGACAGAGAGGATGGTGACAGAGGAGGTGGATATGACGGAGAGATTGGTGACAGAGGAAGTGGATATGATGGAGAGGTTGGTGACAGAGGAAGTGGATATGACAGAGAAACTTGTGACAGAGGAAGTGCATATGACGGAGAGGTTGGTGACAGAGGAAGTGGATGTGACAGAGAGGATGGTGACAGAGGAAGTGGATATGATGGAGAGGTTGGTGACAGAGGAGGTGGATATGACGGAGAGATTGGTGACAGAGGAAGTGGATATGACAGAGAAGTTTGTGACAGAGGAAGTGGATATGACATAAGAAGTTTGTGACAGAGGAAGTGGATATGACGAAGAGGTTGGTGACAGGAAGTGGATGTGACAGAGAAGATGGTGACAGAGGAGTTGATGACATGAAATGAAATGACAAAGGAAGCTGATGACAGAGAAAGTGGATGTGACTGTTTACAAGTATGTTTATGAACACAAACAAAGCAAAAATTGATAAGCACTCATAGCTATAAATAAACAAAAGCATCACACTAAAAAGAAAAAGACTTTTCCTTCTAGTATTCATCTGAAAGTACAATTTTATAATAAAAAAATGATCTTTCATCTGGTTGTATTAATATGAACCAGTTTGACAAGTATCACAGTAGTACACACAACTAAAGAAGCATGCTATTGATAAACATTCCATAAATACAGCATGCCACAATCAGTTTCTCTAGTATATAGATACAATGAATAGAGTATATGCCACATTCTGTGAAGCAAATATTCCATACAGTAACAAGGTATTGCTAAATGATATTAACCCCCACTCAGTTGATAATCCAAAGACTGTTACGTAATTTTTGAAATTGATCTGTTCAGGTGAACTTGTATTATTAAGCTTAACTTGAGTTATTGAGTCAAAATGAATTTTCCATTATACTGACTGTGACCTTAACCTTTACTGACATTTTTATTTATAGAGCAATCTAATAACATGCACCTTTGTTTAAGAAAGCAGTTTGTGAAGTTTATTTAATCTAATGGAACTCAAGTCATTAAGTGGAAACATTTTCTATTTATAGTGACATTTAACTTTGACCTTCGATAAAAAAAAAACCAATTCCCAGTCAGCCATGTTGGTAGGGAAGCACCATGTGAAGTCAGTTCATTGGGTTATAAGGAACAAGGAAACTCAGGTTATCAAGTGGAAACCAATATTCTATTTATAGTACCCTTAAAGTGACCTTGACATTTGACTTTTTGGACTCAAAAAGCTATCCTAAGGAAGCACTCTCAAAAGAATGCAGTGTGTGAAGTTTCAGTTGATCAGTTTACTAGAACTCATCAAGTATTATTAATGAGAATGGGTGATGTGGATGGACAGACAGATGGAAGAATGGACAGATGGACAGCAGTATTCAGATATCCCATTTCTATCTTTGTTAGTGGAGATAAATATCACATTCCAAGAAGTAAACATCAATGAGGATCAATTGAGGATCATCAATAGTTTTTCTGCATATTTATGTTTGGAAACTGAAAAAGAAGAACTTTAAGTCTAGGAAAATCTTCAATAAAAGCTTGTTATCCTTGTTGTAAAGATCGTCTCAAATGGACCCATATCTTTCTGTGATCATCTACTGACAGTAAAATACAAAACCCACACTATATTAGTCACTGTTACAATTACTGTAACCTTTATCTTAATCTAAAATGTTTTGTATTAAAAAAAAAATATTTATTATTAATCACAAATGTATTTGAATAATCTTTCAATATAAAAATGTATTTGAAAAATCTGTAGGCCAGACAATAGTGACTTCTAAGGAATTAATCATTCTGTAAGTGTATTAGATATCATAACTGTACTAGGAGTACCTAGTGATAACTACTAATGGGGAAGAAACACCTGATCTACTTATTGTTAAAACTTTCTACCCCTACTGTCTACACAGACAGCGACCAAGCATCAAACCCATGTTAGATAAATACTCACCAAAATTCAGATGCATCACAACTGCAGGTGCAAGAAATAAATGATGGTGGGGTTAGGCTCGAATCAAAACATGCAACACTGCAGACATCGTTATTCTCTTTTTTTAAACCCAAAAAACCCAAGTGTCAAAAATGCAAATCGTATAACATTAAAAAAAACCTCATTCACCGAAAAAACTGGAAAAACATACCAAAAGTAAAGAATAATATGTTTCAGAGTCAAAGAATATAAAATGTTCAATGAGTTAGATGATTTTTTTTCTGGGAAACTCTAGGAAATTTAAATTTCCACCTTACAGGGGAGTCATTATTTGAACAATGAAAAGTAATTCTCTCGAATACAACATACAGTAAAACCCTGTCACAATCCTCGGGACCATGCTAAAAGATTGAGGATTATTTAAGTAATCAGAGATTGGTGATACATTATCAGGTACAGATCCTTTTTGTACACCCAATGTCCATTACAGATATATTCATTACTCTATACATTGATCAGTCCAATTAACGATTGTGCTGAAGTTTTAACTAATTTGTTATTTCAATGTCTGAAATTTTACTGAGGAGAAATATGTAAAATTGACCAGTCACAGCACTCTTTATTGTTCAGTGAACATGCAGGAAGTATGTCACTGAGAATAACAGTAGAATGATGAACCCTTTTGAATTTTCTTCTTGCAGCAACTTCAAGTGATAATAAAATATTGATTGCTCTTGTTGTATGTTGTGTTATTAATTAACCTCATCAGCTAAAAATTGTTCAACGTTTTCTACAGCAATCTTAAATACAACTTTAATTAAACTGTCAATATAAGCCAATGTGACAACTGGCCATATACCTATGTAATCCTGCCAGCGTAGATCCCGTAATTATCTGCTGTCATGTCAGACACCCTTAAATTTAACAAATTGGGGGTCTTCGAGAAATGTGGGTTTAAGGGGGTGGGGTTTTACTGTATCTTGACCTAAGAATGATGACCTTAGAACTCACATATATGGAGAAACATATAGATAATAGTTTCAGAATAACTGATTGAGTAAATTTATGAAGTACAATTGTTATAATGAATAATATTATGAAATAACAAACACCTGTTTAAAAAAAAAAAAAAATGGAAATAAATAAATAAAAAAAACTGCAAAACAAACAATCAATGGTGCCATGAAGTCATACAATCCATAGGAAGCTACTCTAAAATACCTACTGAGCATAAAGCGGGTGGACATGTCTGTCAGTGTCTGGTGAGGAGGGATTGCTTTGGTCCAGGCTTTCGTGTGATGTTGCAATAGCCAGATTCTGTAATAGGGAAGAGCACACTAAAATAATGAAAGACATTCAAAGTTGTTTTGTGAGATAAATGAAGTCAGTCTATATCAATTAAGCAGAGAGTAAAATAGCTGGTATGTTTCACAAAAGTTGTTTAAGTAAGAATCAGTCATTTTTTTTTTAAAGTTTAAACCAAAGACAAAACAGTTCATCAAGGTCATGTTTACACAGATATGTTTGTCAAGGTCTAATTTACAAGGAATTATGTTTTTTAAGGTCACATCTACAAAATAAAAATGTTTCTGAAAGTTACAATTTTGCCATTTGTATTGAACATATGGGTCACATAACTTTGTATTAACATTCTGAATTTTCCTGTAGATGATAGACTGACATACCTGTCGACTGATCCTTAGCTTGGCTGCCTCAGCAGGGTTGTTAAAGCGGAACATATTTGTCTTACCCAGTAAGATGTAGTCACCTGTAATAGATAATAAGTAATTAATTGAGGTAATCAGATATATCACCCTTTCATTATTCATCATCTCTCCTTGACTTTCACAATTTCTAACATTTGTTATACCAAGTACAAAACAATGCTCTTTGTTTGGCGTCCATGTAGTGGATTCTGAACATGTACTGACACTGAATGTATAGACAATTGAATTTACCCTGTTTGAGGCAGGTTGGTCCCCGACAATCAATGCCATTGATAGCACAGTTAGCTCTCCTATTCGGGTGTATGATGACGTTGCCCAGAGTATTCTTGATGAAGCAGTGTTCCTTCTGGACCGACGGCCCACTCAACACTGTAAAATTAACATACCAATTAAAATTCCATCAAAACCTGGTAGACAATTACCTCTTACTGTAACTCAATATAAACATCATCAGAGAAAAGCCATGTTTTAAAGAAACTGAAGATCTTGTAGAGTTCAGAGCAAATTTACTTTTACATTAATATTTATATTTATATATATATATCAAGAAGTTGATTTCAAAATATACAAAAAAAACCAGAATCCATGATCAGTTCAGATCATATTATTGAAATCGTACTAACAGAGCACTCACAAGGTTTTACTGAGGTTTTCCCATTGTTAGTAAGGCCTACCATGGTTTTCTGATGTCAGTAAGGCCTACCGTGGTTTTCAAATGTCAGTAAGGCCTACCATTGTTACCAGACTAAATATATGGTACTTGTGTTCAGCTCAATACATACCAATGTCCTGTTCCCGATCAGCATCTTCACGTCCTAACAGGGTCTTTCCCTCCTGTAATGATAGCAATGATACTTTTGCAGAACACCAAAGGGAAACAACTCTTTTAACATTGAGAATTTTTCCTGTTGTAAAACTCCATATTTTCTAAAACATTTTCAGACCACTATAATATATCATGATCCTGCTCTCTGTTTAAAAACAATTGGTGAAATTGTAACTAATTTTTAAAATCTGAAGATTTAGCTACTTGATTATCAAACATGAAAATATGAAAAAGTCACAATATATTGACTTTCTACAAAATGCCTTCAGCGCAGTATCAGTACTAAAAAAGAATCATGTATTATGTAATATTGACTGTCTATATTATACCCTTCAGCTCTGTATCCATGGTAACAGTGACTTACCTTGAGGTAGTAGATGGTCACGCCTGTACTCAGAATATCGTCATCCATGCCAACCAGGTGAGGCATCTGAGACTCAATCAGAACCCCCATTGAGTTACTTTTCCCCTTCAACCCTCTGATGCTGAGGTCAGAGTCCTGTAGTAAACACCAAACCACATCAATGTATACCAATTTTAACATTCAGTGTAATTGATATAACAAGCATTTCAGATTATTTTATATCACTTCTCTGTGAGACAGCCTTGTTTCACAGGTCCCTCTGATCAGATCCAGACACTTTCTCAGCATTTGATTTTCTGTCCCTTCCTTCTACACAGGAGAAACTATCTTTTCAACAAAGTCCACAACATAGAGTCATTAACTCAGTGTCCTGTTTCCATCCTACTAATTTTATATAATACTGTGGTCCACATTTCTCTTTTTCATTGGATTCTTGTTCACTTTTGATCATATCCTTGCTCTCTTACCATAAGATCAATTTTCCTTCCCCATTAGATCCCTGTTCCCTACTCACCAGATCAGTGTTCCCTACTCATCAGATCTCTGTTCCCTACTCACCACCAGATCCCTGTTATCTCCCCACCAGATCCCTGTTCTCTCCCTATCAGACCCTTGTTCATTCCCCACCAGTTCCCTGTTCTCTCCCCACCAGATCCCTGTTCTCTCCCTATCAGACCCTTGTTCATTCCCCACCAGCTCCCTGTTCTCTCCCCACCAGCTCCCTGTTCTCTCCCCATCGGATCCCTGTTCTCTCCCCACCAGTTCCCTGTTCATTCCCCACCAGCTCCCTGTTCTCTCCCCACCAGCTCCCTGTTCTGTCCCCACCAGCTCCCTGTTCTGTCCCCACCAGTTCACTGTTCTCTCCCCACCAGCTCCCTGTTCTCTCCCCATCGGATCCCTGTTCTCTCCCCACCAGTTCCCTGTTCTCTCCCCACCAGCTCCCTGTTCTCTCCCCATCAGCTCCCTGTTCTCTCCCTATCAGCTCCCTGTTCTCTCCCCACCAGTTCCCTGTTCTCTCCCCACCAGATCCCTGTTCTCTCCATCAGATCCCTGTTCTCTCCCCACCAGCTCCCTGTTCTCTCCCCATCAGATCCCTGTTCCCATTATACCCCTGGTGTTTCCTTCAGCTTACCCTGATAGCTTCGTGAGCTTCCCTCCATTTATCTATCCATGTCTGTGTTAGTTTGTCCACCTGTTTAATCAAAACATATACTATATTTATTGTGAGTTAACAGTTTTTTCTCTAAATGATGCAAATATATTAAAAACTTTAATTACAATTCAGCAATATTTCAAATAAAGGATGGACTATAATATTTGATAAGACAATTAAAATATATCACACTGTGAATATATACATCATAAATACATATATATGTGCTTTGTTATTTTTCTATCTAACTAGCATATAATGGAGCTATCATTATATCATAGCTAGAGTTATCCCCCTTATATCTGATGGCGTGAGTTTCCTGTGAGACAGTTGTCTCTCTATCTTCACATCTAAACAATGTTGATGGATTAAATCAGGTCCTTGTGAACTGATCACTCTGAGATAAAGCTGTCACAGATATAGCTGGGATATGACATTAAAGACTTAATTCTGAGAAATTGAGGTACTGCCTCTTACTGATCTAATAAAGCTCAGTCTTAATAAAACTTATGTTTACTTGTAACATTTTCCTTTATATATAGCTTATAAAGAGGATTTAAAGGTGAAACAGAGTTAAAAGAGGCTTTTAAACTGACCATGTTTTCATTTTCTTGGAGTTTTTCTGCCAGAACAGAATTGGAATCTGGAAGTTGAAGGAATGAATCTCCCTGAAAATGAACGTACATAGGAGGTGATGAATACAGAAATGGCTGCTGGTCTATTGTGAACAGTGACATCTGACATAAAGCAACAGACAAGCAAATGTTTCTAAGCATGCATGCCTACCTTGTCAAATTTACTTGACTATAAAGCACACAAACACAAAAATATATAATATTTATAGGATTCCAAATGACCAACTGCAAAATAGGAGAAACATCATAATTTTATGTTCCATATTCTCATGTTCCTGAACAAGAGGCCCATGGGCCTTAACAGACATCTGACTATAAAGACCTATATATGAAAGACGCAAAATGCTCAACTACTCTATAGCGTACATAGAAGACATTGTTGGTTGATCAAAACATTTTCTGCAAACTTGAAATCCTATTCTTTATACATGCACTAAAGATGCCATTAGTCTGGACATATTGCTTGTTGAAAAATCAAGCTAATGGTACAATATCAAGACCCTTGGCCTTATGGCCCCAGGTCCCTAGGGGTCAATCAATCAGAAATAATTTTCTTCTTTCAATAATGTTTCAGACTAAATATTGTTGAATCCATTTAAGCATTAAGAAAGAGAAACATTTTGAAGCAAAATATTGACAAACTTTCCCATTTTTGGCCCTGCATCCCTAAGGGTCAAACCAACTTTCTGAATTTAAGGAATGATTCCCCATCCTCAATGATGTTTCAGACCAAATTTGGTTGAAATTCATTCCAGCATAAAGAAAGAGTAGCAATTTTTGAAACAAAATATTGTTCAGGAACATTGATTTTTCATTAATAATAAAGAATTCCACATTCAGTTGTTTACTGTTTTGCCTGGTAATTATCTGACAAAGTTATCAAGTTTCCAAAAAAGTTTGAAATATTTGTGTTGCATTTCATCTTACATAGATAAAACCAAGTAAATGACATTTTAATCTCTGTCAGGAACAAAGGTTTATTTAGGAAATGTGTTCCTAGCAGCATGTTTATAATGTGACATACTTCAGTCCAGCCTTCATTTGATCACTGTATATCGGTAAAGGTAATTTACTCACTCATTGCATGCAAATATAACATTTTTTACCTGTTCTGATCAATTGGTTTGTAATTTCATACCTAGACTCTTGAACACAACAGGTGTAAATTGTTTATAGATTTGTATTACACAGGTGAGTAAACATCAACAATCATCAGCTAAAAGGTAACTGATGAGGAAATGTGTTCTGCAACTAATAAAACTTGTCATCGCCCTGGAAAGACTGACAATATAACTGATATATACCATTTCATTAAATATTTATTCAACATCCCAATAAATGGTTTCATATCTGGACAGTATAGAATTTAACCACTTCCTTTACAGAAAACGGGAGTAGCATTTTACACAAAGGTGACTGTGCTGAAGGTGAAAGGATAAGGAAGTATAGAAGTAAGTTTCTCAAACATCAACTTAATTGCCTGGGGATTTCCTCACCACTTAACATGTAATCGTGCCATGTCTCCCCTTACTAAGTATTACAAGACAGCCCATCATGTACATTATGTCCGCACCCATCTAAAATGTTTTAACAAGCTGAAATCCTGATAAGTTTTCTTTTTGCACATATTAGGCAAACCTACTACCAAGAGAACTGTGTTACTATCTATTAAGGTGTACTTAGACATTTGAAGAATGTACTATGCACTTTCTCCCCAGGAAAAATGAGTTACTACTAAATGTTAGAACTAATGAATTAAAAACTGACATGTATGTCACTACAGACAAAACACTTATGTTAGGGCTACTCCTGGAGGAAAGGAATACAAAAAACAAAACATTTAATGTCAAAAAGACAACAGAAAAACATGCCACTATGTAACATCATAACAAAATCACATCTTTTGGACAAACAGCCAGGAAATGATAAATGACAAGAAAATGAAAGTAAATATTTTGTACCAATAAATCTTACTACCGAGATTAGAATGCTGTTTATTCAGGGACAGAAGGAGGTGGGAGTGTCTCAGAGAATAAATAATGCACTCTCCCAGGTAACACACTCTATCATCTATCTCTCATCGAAGTAGTTAGCATTCATTCTTGTTAGATAAAAAAGAAACTGAAATCATTTTTTCTACATGATGTTAACAACGTCAGGATGTGTTCAATACTAAAACAAGCCCTATTACAGCCAATATTGGTTTAATGACAGACAAGGCTCTTTCTGATTTCAAGCATGCAGGGAAAGTCATTCCATCCTTGTACATTTCATTGTTTTCATTCTTCAAAGGAGAGTTCACAACCAGAGCCCAAATCATAAAAATAAATGTAGATCTCTGTGAGTTTATTATATATCAATCAATATGATATCAAATAGTTGAGAAAATTATCAAAGCTACAGAAATTTTTAAACTTGTGGAGAAACCAATAGTAAAAAATAAAAAGTTTAAAATCAAGAGTAATAAACAACAAATTTTGAAACTGACTGTAACATACCAGACACACTGAAATTGACTGTAACATATCAGAAACTCTGAAACTGACTGTAACATATCAGACATACTGAAATTGACTGTAACATATGAACTCAGAAACTGACTATAATATATCAGAAACTAATTAATTGCATGTAACATATCAGAAATTCTGAAACTGACTGTAACATATCAGAAACTCTGAAACTGACTGTAACATATCAGATACTCTGAAACTGACTGTAACATTTCAGAAACTCTGAAACTGACTGTAACATTTCAGATACTCTGAAACTGACTGTAACATATCAGAAACTCTGAAACTGACTGTAACATATCAGATACTCTGAAACTGACTGTAACATTTCAGAAACTCTGAAACTGACTGCAACATATCAGCAACTCTGAAACTGACTGTAACATGTAAGAAAATTTGAAATCTATGGTTAAGATTAAAACTAAGAAAATTTGAAGCTGATGGTGGGATTAGAAATTCTGAATACCTTGGCAACAGAAGGAAAAATCTGAAACCTTTAATAAAAGACGAGAAATTTTGAAACCAATAGTAATTTTAGCAAAGAGATTCTGTAAAATACCAGAGAAATATAAACATGACTGCTTCCAAGAGTAGTGACAATGTTAGTGGAGTATACAGATCATAATACCTGCTCACTATCCGTGTCTATCTCATGCATTTTCTGGATGTTCGAAGGCAAGAGGAAAACTATTTCATTGAGTGAGGATCTAGAATTGGCCTGAAATCAATGAATTGAAAGGAAAACATGTACAGCACATACAATTAGTCAGTGTATAAGTGATGGTTTACAGGTTCACAAACATTGTTAGCAGGCAGTATGTGTCCAGTTATAGCCCTATTCAATCTCCAATACTATATAATGATAATCTAAGTCCTAAAACAGTAATCTTTGAAATTGATATGGAGTTAACTCAAAACATAACAATTATTATAGAACAAGAGGCCCAGAGGGCCTGTATCGCTCACCTGGATCTTTATGACCAACTGTACAATATTTGTGTATATGTTCCACAGTAGATGCTTAAAGCAATATGACAAATTACTCCATATGGGTTCTGTCCCTTAGTAGTCCAAAATTAGTCATTTTTACATAAGCCTTTAGTGGCCAAATACGATGGGTTTTTGGTTAATCAGAAGAAGTTGATTAACTATTTTACCAAATCTAACCCCAATGACCTTAAATATCATTATGGGTCAAGCTACTTTTTCACACACTATGTGGGCACTATTAAGGGAACCTTTTGGACAAATATTAGGATCCTTAGCCTTTAGCTTAATCAGAAGTTGTTCAAAGGTTTAACACATTTGAATGTTGTGACCTTGAATATGGGTCAAGGTCATTTCTTTTTGCAAACTTTCTTAGGCTTTATCAAAGGAACTTTTCACCCAAATATAATGATTCTAGGCCTTCCAGTATTTGAAAGAAGTCGTTTAAAGGTTTGAACACATTTGACCTGTTTGACCTTGAATATGGGTCAATGTCATTTCTTTTTGCAAACTTTGTTGGGCTTAATAAAAGGAACCTTTCAGCCAAATATGATAACTCTATGCCTTCCGATATTTTGGAAGAAGTCGTTTATATGAAAAGTTGATGGACGTAGGCCGGACCGACAGACGACGGATGGACAGGCGGACGGCTGGACAGACGACGGGTGACGCGCTTTGGGCCAGGTGAGCTAATGATGTGAGAAGAAAATAATCTGACATGCTAGGGACATTATCAGCAGGGACAATGATGGAGACCAGTGATCAGTTGGAATGGTGCTGGAGACTAGTTATCAGTCAGGACAATGCTAGAGACAGGTTATCAGTCAGGACGATGCTGGGGACAACTAATCAGTCAGGACGATGCTGGAGACTAGTTATCAGTCAGGACGATGCTGGGGACAAGTTATCAGTCAGGACGATGCTAGGGGTATTATCAGTCAGGACGATGCTGGGGAAAAGTTATCAGTCAGGACGATGCTAGGGGTATTATCAGTCAGGACAGTGCTGGGAACAAGTTATCAGTCAGGATGAGGCTGTGGACAAGTTATCAGTCAGGACAATGCTAGGGGTATTATCAGACAAGACGAGGCTGTGGACTAGACCTACAAAAACTAGTATGATCAACTAGCCTAAATCTCTACATGCATTCAGATACCATTCATAACATTTTATTAAGTATGATGCCATTCATAACATTTTATAAAGAATGATGCCATTCACAACATTTTATAAAGAATGATACCATTCACAACATTTTATAAAGAATGATATCATTCACAACATTTTATTAAGTATGATGCCATTCACAACATTTTATAAAGAATGATACCATTCACAACATTTTATTAAGTATGATGCCATTCACAACATTTCATAAAGCTGAAACAAAATGTACAAAGCTCAATGTATTGAAATCTTAAAACTCTTCATAAAAGAAAGGCAATTCAGTTATCTGTGTATTTCTCCTAATGTGTTCCTACTTGTTTGGTATAATAATAGACTATCATGAGGATTTAAGAACCTGTTTGGCCAAGGCTCATCTTCCACAGGGTCCTCTTGTTAGTAAAACATGGCTTTATTAAAATACCTGATTGTTCACAACATAGTCATTTTTATACCTTTATCACAGCTACATAATTAAGAATATCACAGAATGCACAAAAGTTGGTGCAAATAGGGTTTTCATGAAAGGCCAATTTGTCTAATATACATAAATCTTAAGTTAGTAATGAAAATAAGAATGAATAATACACATAATACAGAATTCTTGCACATGTATTTTGGTTGCACAACGTAATCCTACCCGATCCTGTAGAACGTCTTACCTATTCAAATGTGTTTATGTTCACGCACGCGCACCAGTAACATTGCTGGGCATGGGGGCTGCCATTATATATGTAACATTAGAAGGACGATACTATAAATGTGTGTGTTCTTTATATACCTTAAGCTGTGGTAATATCACATTCTATACCTAAATATTTTCATGCATACTTGCAAAAAATAAAAAGAAATGTAGGCGACTGAATTTTATTAGGCATTTTGTTTGAAATGAACATTTGAATGTTACCCATATTGCATTGCGGCCCTTGGATTGAACCGGAAGTAGTAAAGAGGGCATATTAGTGAAAAATAAGGTAGTTACAGTTTAAACTTATTATGAGTTCTAATGAATGAACATTAATGTCCATTTAAAAATTGACGCAGTTACATGATAATATATTACAGAGTAAAACATTACTGGTATTGGAAAGAAAATCTGTAAATAATTCATTACAAGTTCAAATAAGAGCACACTTGTTTTGTTTTAACATAAGATGTTTCAGTTTTGGTTTCATTTGGAGATTTGTTCCATTTCTGACAGCCAGATACAAAAAATAATAAGTTGTCCTGTGTTTTAGAATCAATACATTTTTAGTAGATACATGCCTTGTAGGCCGCTAATGAACATTTCCAGCCAAAACAAAATCACTGAAAAGTTATTGTGGTACCATACCACTGACACATTTAAATGGAATAATTTACTTTTTTAACTTGAAATATTTTTAAATTGGCATCCATTTCAAACTTTAAACATGTCTGCTGAAGGAGCATTAAGTGATTTCTCTAAAATCAGTCTGGCAGCACATTTTTGAGCTTTTGACAGTTTGTCTAGAGAAGCTTCAGTACTTCCAGACCAGACAGTATTACCAGACACAGTTTCCTACCTTAATTTATGATTGAGACTGTCATTGACTTTCCAAGTTTCTGTTTGGAAGCAATAAGCATACCTTTAGTTTTATTTACATTGTCATTTTGTTATCATTACAGCACACATCCACTTTTTCACAGATACATACCATGCGAGTGGACACCAGCATCTCCCGGAGTCGTTCAATTTCTCGTCGCAAGTCTCGTATCAGAGACACATTGGGGTCCTAACAAAATAGACGTTTAATGAAGAAAGGTAACATAACAAAGAAGTAGCTGTCTCTTATGGATCTATCATTTACAGCGGTTCATGGATCTATCATTTACAGCGGTTCATGGATCTATCATTTACAGCGGTTCATGGATCTATCATTTACAGCGGTTTATGGATCTATCATTTACAGCGGTTTATGGATCTATCATTTACAGCGGTTTATGGATCTATCATTTACAGCGGTTTATGGATCTATCATTTACAGCGGTTTATGGATCTATCATTTACAGCGGTTTATGGATCTATCATTTACAGCGGTTTATGGATCTATCATTTACAGCGGTTTATGGATCTATCATTTACAGCGGTTTATGGATCTATCATTTACAGCGGTTTATGGATCTATCATTTACAGCGGTTTATGGATCTATCATTTACAGCGGTTTCTGGATCTATCATTTACAGCGGTTTATGGACAGAGTAACTCAGCGTGTATAAAAAATAAAGTTATATGTAATAAAACAGGTCTCGAATATAAATCTTTTATATTCACTTTTGGTCTAATCTTCATTGTTTGTTTCCCCTGTGTTATATTAAAGGAAGTACTGAATAATTCATGTTTGTCAGGAGGGTTGTATTCCTGTTAAGAAGGTTTATAGTTTTGTCAGGAAGGTTAAATTCCTGTTAAGAAGGTTTATAGTTTTGTCAGGAAGGTTATATTCCTGTTAAGAAGGTTTATAGTTTTGTCAGGAAGGTTAAATTCCTGTTAAGAAGGTTTATAGTTTTGTCAGGAAGGTTGTATTCCTGTTAAGAAGGTTTATATTTTTGTCAGGAAGGTTGTATTCCTGTTAAGAAGGTTTATATTTTTGTCAGGAGGGTTGTATTCCTGTTAAGAAGGTTTATATTTTTGTCAGGAGGGTTGTATTCCTGTTAAGAAGGTTTATATTTTTGTCAGGAAGGTTGTATTCCTGTTAAGAAGGTTTATAGTTTTGTCAGGAGGGTTGTATTCCTGTTAAGAAGGGTTGTATTCCTGTTAAGAAGGTTTATAGTTTTGTCAGGAAGGTTGTATTCCTGTTAAGAAGGTTTATAGTTTTGTCAGGAAGGTTGTATTCCTGTTGAGAAGGTTTATAGTTTTGTCAGGAAGGTTATATTCCTGTTTTATATTTGGCTTGGAATGGTGTATTTCTGTTTGAAAGGGTTTATTTTTGTCTGGAAGAATTTATCTTGTTTTGAATGCTTTATCCTATGTTCTTGGGGGTATGCTTTCTAGAACTTCAACTGGTATATGTAATTAAAAGATTTCACTTAAAAAATTAAAATTGCTTTGTACAAATAAAGATTTTCTGCTAATGAAAACATTATCTAGAGGAGTGTACAAGTGTCCCTGGTCCTGAATGAATCACTGTATATAACCCTTATGTAATGTGTATTTTGACAGATCCATGTTGAATAAATTGAGATGACAATCAACCCGCTGTGTATCTATAGGACCGGCATTCCCCCAAGGAGCCAAACATTTTCAATACATTACACTCATGCTGGGATGATCATTTAACTAAGTGGCACTTGAGAAAAAACACCAATAGCTAATATAACAGTATCTGAATGATAAAAAGTTAATGCCAAAGATATATATAAAACAGACATTACCAGAAATCTAGGTTATATTAGTCCAGCGACCATGTTATGTCAACATGTAGCCGAACATTCTTACTGGGATTACAGGAGGGAGTTTTAATTCAGTCTTTGGCTGGCATTGGCACCAGTACATGACTCATGTTATATAAGCCCCAGAAGTATTATCAATAACCAAACATAAAATGACAATATATTTAATTCTAAATGACATGAAACTTACTTCTGATGGCATTTTAAATCTCCAAATCTTATTTCAGTAAATGTTTATCCTTTAGATTAACAACTTCTGTGTTAATTGTGCCAGGACTGTGGATCTAACCTATCAATCCTCTCACTGGTATATCTTCTCTACAGATCTAGCTATTATGTAACTTCCTTCTTGTTACTTCAGTTCTGTTTGTTTAGACCAACAAATTATAAACTAATCGTAACAGGCATCCTTTACCTCGTTAACTTTCGGTTTGTTGATAATGCTCTTGGCCCGTTGTGCGTATCGGAGAGTACTCAGGGTTTCATTGTAGTACATGCTGGCTGGAGTGATGGCTGAAAAACAAAAAAACTCCACTAAAAAATCCAATATTTTCAATAACAACCATGAGCAGATGTCCACCTTATCTTCAATCACAGGAAAGGAATACTGCGTTCATATATATTTAAGCTGTGATTCTATTAACATGATTGCACTAATTGCAGTTTATTTATGTTGATTATGTAACAATTATTATGTATGTTGTATTTTATCACTGCACTAATTCGCCAAGAAGTGGTAATGTACAAAAATTAGACTGCACCAAATTAAGTACATTTAGTACACTTGTTTTTACAGAGGCTGTCTGGGTCATCTGAGGATTAACACTAATAGAACTAACAGCGTTTATCTTTACAGGAGATACTTCTTACTCTGGAAACACTATATCTTTATTTGGAGATCACGATGGTTTATATCAATGCTGTGGCTTACTTGAGATCATCATGGTTTTGGAGTTACCCCCAAGACTGTCCTTCAGGAGCCATGTCAGGACAGAATCACGATATGGAATGTAAGGAAGACGTTTTTTGGGTGTTGCTCCTTCACCCCCACTTTGGATACTGGCCACTGAGGCACCCAGGTTGTCCGAACTACAGGACAGGATAGATCGCTCCGCTACAATATAATGTTTTTACATAAAGCATTGATGAAATTGTATAATTACCAAAAGCATTCTGAGCTGTATAACAAAGAGCTTGTATTACATTGATTATGAGATGTATGGAAAGACATCAGGGCTGTATAACAAAGAACTTGTATTACATTGATTATGAGATGTATGGAAAGACATCAGAGCTGTACAACAAAGAGCTTGTATTCCACTGATTATGAGATGTATGGAAAGACATCAGAGCTGTACAACAAAGAGCTTGTATTCCACTGATTATGAGATGTATGGAAAGACATCAGGGCTGTATAACAAAGAGCTTGTATTCCACTGATTATGAGATGTATGGAAAGACATCAGGGCTGTATAACAAAGAGCTTGTATTACATTGATTATGAGATGTATGGAAAGACATCAGGGCTGTATAACAAAGAGCTTGTATTCCACTGATTATGAGATGTATGGAAAGACATCAGGGCTGTATAACAAAGAGCTTGTATTACATTGATTATGAGATGTATGGAAAGACATCAGGGCTGTATAACAAAGAGCTTGTATTCCACTGATTATGAGATGTATGGAAAGACATCAGGGCTGTATAACAAAGAGCTTGTATTACATTGATTATGAGATGTATGGAAAGACATCAGAGCTGTATAACAAAGAACTTGTATTACACTGATTATGAGATGTATGGAAAGACATCAGGGCTGTATAACAAAGAGCTTGTATTCCACTGATTATGAGATGTATGGAAAGACATCAATAACAAAGAGCTTGTATTACACTGATTATGAGATGTATGGAAAGACATCAGAGCTGTACAACAAAGAGCTTGTATTACACTGATTATGAGATGTATGGAAAGACATCAGGGTTGGTTTTTACTTACCCAGAGCCTTGATGACATTGCCAAGAGTGACCAATGATTTGTTGATGTTTGAGCCCTCTCGTAGCCGACCTTTGTATCCGGACCAGTAGTTAGGGTCAGCTCTTTCACTGAAGTTATCACAAAGGTACACTTTAAATAAGATTATGATACATAACCTCCTTATGTTAACACTAACTGATTTTCTACAGATAAACTAGCAATAACTTCAACATTTCTTTTAAAAGTAAATCATTGTTAGAATTATTCAATACAGAATAGTAACTTCAACCTTAAATGTCACAAAGATTCTAATGAGAAGAAAAAAATTAACAGAAGTCAGAAACAATCTTTAACTCTCTGAAACATTTCTTTTTATGATTTCAGAAGAAATAAAATCAAAAGTGAGCAAGGGCTCCATTATATATACCTCTCACCTTTTTCATCTCATCTTAATCTATTGAGGGATTAATCTATGAAGGAGTTCATGAGATAACTTGTACACAAACTTTGAAATGTGGTCAACAATAACGTTTGATCTTTAACGTTGACCAATGACCATCAAAATCTAATTAAGTGTGAACTTTGGTTGGAAATGTTGTAATTACAAATTAAATCTTCATGTCGAGTGGCTTATGAGATATCTTGTGCAGCATGCTTTTTATTTCAAAAACAGCCAAGGGTGAACTTTGACCTTTAACCTTGACCAATGACGACTGAAATCTTAACATGTAGATACCTTGGTTGGGTGATGCTATGTTGGGAATATATACTAAATCTGTTCTGTGGTTCATGAGATATCTTGTAGGACAGAAAAACAGAAAGACTGATTACTATGTACCCCATCACCTAAGTGTGTCTGATCAATACCTCATTCTAAAATATTACATTATATCATAAATTTTCCACATAAACTCAATGTCAGATACTTTCACAGAAAATGCCTTTAACAATGAAAACAATGTTATTTTATTGCACTTCATTATTTTCACTGAACACTTTCCCATAAAACAACTCTCATCTACATATGATTCACTAAATAACAATATTCTGGCAACTTTGATTTTTATGGGCGCTGAGAGTCAAAAAATATAACAATTGTTGTTTTCATTTTAAGTGTTTAGTATTACAACTACTAGATGGGAAGATTTCAAATATGAATCATATAAAGTTTGTTATTATATATTGTAAAAGCTCCCCTTTTTCCCGTTGGAGTTGATATTGTCAAATCACTTGTCTCAATATTTAGTATTCACAGGTAAACATCAAACACCCTGGTTTTAATCATTCAACACATTAAGGAAAAGTAACCCATATATATTTGCATGGGCCACTAAAGAAAGTTAGAACCATTAACCTGCTGTAAGTCAGTCACACCTGACCTAGACAGGTAAGTTCAATTTGCTTGTGTACACAACTTTCCACCCTCACTTGTCCTAGATCTACAGAAAACAATTGGCAGGTAAGTACTCTACTCTTATTTTTGGAAATAGTTGACAGAGGTGTTTACACATTGTCATGGTCACACTAGGTGAGTGAAATGCTTCCCTACTAGTTAACATCCTATTCCCGATATATCAATTTATAAAAATGAGAGTGTTGACATCAAGTTTATAGTCAGATCTACAGAGATATCTACGACTAGAATCAATCCATACTAAAACGGAGCTGCCCAAAACAGTGGTGACATCAGAATTAGAGATAAGAATTCCGTAGAATTCTGTTTCATCATCCCTGAAAAGGTTTATCTTGGAAGTCATCAAAAGGTTATGATAATATAATCATATTACTTAGGGAAATATTTGCAATGGTTGTAAGGTGTATTATGGAGAGGGAAACAGTTGTAAAGTGTTCTCTGGAGAGGGAAACAGTTGTAAAGTGTTCTCTGGAGAGGGAAACAGTTGTAAGGTGTTCTCTGGAGAGGGAAACAGTTGTAAAGTGTTCTCTGGAGAGGGAAACAGTTGTAAAGTGTTCTCTGGAGAGGGAAACAGTTGTAAAGTGTACTCTGGAGAGGGAAACAGTTGTAAAGTGTTCTCTGGAGAGGGAAACAGTTGTAAAGTGTTCTCTGGAGAGGGAAACAGTTGTAATGTGTTCTCTGGAGAGGGAAACAGTTGTAAAGTGTTCTCTGGAGAGGGAAACAGTTGTAAAGTGTTCTCTGGAGAGGGAAACAGTTGTAAAGTGTTCTCTGGAGAGGGAAACAGTTGTAATGTGTACTCTGGAGAGGGAAACAGTTGTAATGTGTTCTCTGGAGAGGGAAACAGTTGTAATGTGTACTCTGGAGAGGGAAACAGTTGTAAGGTGTTCTCTGGAGAGGGAAACAGTTGTAAAGTGTTCTCTGGAGAGGGAAACAGTTGTAATGTGTACTCTGGAGAGGGAACAGTTGTAATATAAACTCTGGAAAGGGAAACAGTTGTAAAGTGTACTCTGGAGAGGGAAACAGTTGTAATGTGTACTCTGGAGAGGGAACAGTTGTAATATAAACTCTGGAGAGGGAAACAGTTGTAATGTGTACTCTGGAGAGGGAACAGTTGTAATATAAACTCTGGAGAGGGAAACAGTTGTAAAGTGTACTCTGGAGAGGGAAACAGTTGTAAAGTGTTCTCTGGAGAGGGAACAGTTGTAATATAAACTCTGGAGAGGGAAACAGTTGTAATGTGTACTCTGGAGAGGGAAACAGTTGTAAAGTGTACTCTGGAGAGGGAAACAGTTGTAATGTGTACTCTGGAGAGGGAAACAGTTGTAAAGTGTTCTCTGGAGAGGGAAACAGTTGTAAAGTGTTCTCTGGAGAGGGAAACAGTTGTAAAGTGTTCTCTGGAGAGGGAAACAGTTGTAAAGTGTTCTCTGGAGAGGGAAACAGTTGTAATGTGTACTCTGGAGAGGGAACAGTTGTAATATAAACTCTGGAGAGGGAAACAGTTGTAAAGTGTACTCTGGAGAGGGAAACAGTTGTAAAGTGTACTCTTGGGAGGAAATAATTGTTAGGTGTACTAAGGAGAGGGATATAGTGTACTCTGGTAATTAAAATGTTTATAACATGTACACTGGAGAGGGAAACAAGGTGTACTCGGGGAGGAATACAGGTATACTCTGGGGAGACAAACAGCTATAAGATACATGGCGTTTTCAACTGTCAATCCATTTATATGAAAACTTTTAATCCTCACATACTTTAGTCTACAAAGTAACATTTGTCTTACAGGTCTATTTAATCTTTATGTCAACAGTTGGGTCCTCCTGAAAACATTTTATTTGCATTGTTTTTGTCAATGTTTGAAACAAAATATGAAGCATTCCAGTCTACAAAGTATGTAAGGTGTGACTCCATTCCTGGTCAGTGGCGCTTTACCTGGCCACTGACGTGTACAATAGGATTTAAGATTCTGTTATTGTCAAATCAGTAATCCTCACACCTCCAAATGGTATTACAATACATGCCAGATCAAGGGATGTATTAACCAAGGTGAGTTGGAATACTTAAGTGTTGTATATAGTCACTTAAAGATATACAAGTTGTATCTATATTTACTCTTTAGGTACAAATCAGTATCCTAGATTTAATCTCAACAGTACCAGCTAGCACTGAAGTACAAAACTCAGGCTGTCAACCAAGTCTTCTTCAAAATATAGCAGGAATATAGAAATAATTTTTCAACAAATATAGGGTTTTTTTTGCTAGTTTAAGGCAAAATATAGGAGTTTTTCAAAGGAAATCATTTCATTCAAAAGCATTTATACTAACAATTCTTACATTCACTTACTATTTCTATATTAATCAATGATTAAAAACTATCTTAAAGTAACCATTCACTTCAACAACATCACAATCCAGGCAGAGAGCTGCTGCATAGCTCCTCCACCTCCTCCTCCTCATCATCATCTGAATGAGCACCTAAAAGGCCAATAACCTGTTGTACTGCCTTGTAAGGTGTCCATACAGGTGATAAAGAGATAAACTGAATCATTTCCCGGTGGCTGGTGATGCTGTTAAAGACTTACTTCTCTAACTTGTAAAGTAAAGAAGTCAAAAGTAGTATTAAAGAAATATTTACAATCTCTACATTTATCGGCAACAAATTTCCTGAAAAATACAGGAATATTTTTCGAAAAATAGGAAAATATAGGTATATAGGAATCAGTTGACAGCCTGAATCAAGAAAAACCATGTTAAAATTCTGAACTGTCAAGGAGTTGTGTTTCTATCACTAGTCAGCCTCAGACGGTCAGTGGATCTGACTATGACTGGGTACACTCCCACTGATAAATACCGTTCTTTTTCTAACAGATTTTGATATCAGTAATGATAAACTTTAATTATTTCACAACAAACAAACTTTCAGACTTAAATTAAACGCTCTAGTTGACACAGATAGAAGTATGAAAGGGGTATCACTGTGGAAAGAAACCAGAGTATTGGGGACAACCTACGTGGTCAGAATTGGACCTCAGACGTCTAGGTTTATAGGCGAGACCACTGTGCCACTTAACCATCCATGATATAGGTAATTTTGTATTATAAGTCATAACTATAATGTCATTTAATCAATCTTTCTTTTCTCATTCACAGTTTTTGTCTCTATAAACTTATATTACAAGGCATGATACACAATTCTTAGGCATTTGGGGACACCAACCTGCCAGCCAAGTCCACAAGGTGAAGTTTACTGACAATTTCATGAGGTAGATCATCTTCTAATTTGGCCTGAAAGAGAGAATCACAAATCAGTCATGGATTTGATAATGACCTTGACAAAACAATGTATCTACATCCTCATACAGATCAGACAGGTTAAACTTCATACTGAAATGTAAGGCTTTATGTATGTATTTAAAAGAAATTTAAACAAATATTTCTTTATTTTATACAACAGTGAAAACAACTATTCTACATAAACAGTTTAATACATGAAGTTTCATTACAGTTGGATGAGAAACAAGGCAGTATGTGTATGAATGGATCACATGGTTCCCTCTAATTAAACCTGACTAAATATGGGTATAACTTTGATTGAATGTTTTCTTCAGTGACTTAAAGTTCAAGTCATGCCACCCTTGTTAATCTTGTCTGTAAAGCTGTGCACTTACTGTTTTATATAAAGTTATAACATGTCAGAATGATATTACTGAACGACTTACTCATTTATAAACTCTCTTTGTATAATACAATACTGAGCAAATCATCGTGTACAATAATACACTGTAATGGGCAGGCCTATGGCTAAAAGGATAAAGGACTTAGAGGACTTAACTGATTATCTGCCTCTTTCAAAATGCACAGTCAACTATGGGGTCTGAACCTCATTGTTTAAGCAATGTCAAGTAGGCTACATAATCCACACTTCTTCTGCAAATTCTTTACATTACTGGCACATACAAAGTGTTTATAATATTAAATATTGTCATAATATACTTAAAACAAGAGACCCATAGGGCCGTTATCGCTCATCTGAATCTTAAAAGCCCAGCAATTTTATACATGCCTATAGGTTAGGTATTTCAAATGTTTCCAAATTAAAGCTCAATCACTTAACCTCTCTGATGGGATAAGACCAACTGATAAATTCTTATATCATTACTGTCTATCTTTTGAGTGTACACTACAGTGTAAAGTCTCTAACCTAAACCTACCACCATAATTACACATGTACCCTGAAGCACTCATTATTTCTCTGTTAATTCTCACCATTCCTTATCCGTGACCAATTAAAATCTTGCTGACATCAGTATACAGTCCAATTTTTTTAATCATAGATTAAGTTGCATGACTGTGTCATGGAGACATATGAAACCAGTCCTACTTAGCCTTGAAGTCTATACCCTTGGACCTGTAAATCAGTTATATAACATAATTTTTTGGCAGTCTGATAATATTGGTGATTCTCTACAATAAATTTAATGTTGATATATCTTTTTTTTTCTTTTTTGATCTTTTCAAATGAAAAAGCAGCTAAAGAGAATTACTTCAAAATTAATGCTCAGTAAAGATCAGAGGTTTTCCTCGTCAAGGCTTCAGCCAACTGATGTTTAAGGTAATTTATACAAACATAAGCAGGAGACAGTGCTACAATCCAGGACTGTGTTATCTCGGATAACATGCAAACTATACCTGCTAAAAACTTGGGGGACTGGAAACAGAAAGTATCTATCCATAACACCTATATATCCTATGTAGACAGACATATCTATAAAGTTCAACATCAGTTTTATATTAATGAATATATTAGAACCCATTTTATGGCAATCACTGCATTATTATTATGATTTTTATGAAACTCCCAGCATGTATCAGAATACTTCTTGGCTGACATGGTTCCTTCAAACGTCAGCGGCCTCTACACCTCTAGACTGGTTTTATGACAAGAGCTTATCTTCTCTAATTAAGATAAGAATAACAGATGTAGGTATTCTGGTGCAGTAGATCAAGGCACTGCACATACATTCTAAACAGATGGTCTCCCCGAAAGGCCAGTGATGTGTCTGTTTAAATGGACAACATACACACCAAACAGATGGCACAAATCCCCAATGCCAATTCTGTTAGCTAAGAGAGTCAAAACAGAACAAGTACATCTGGAATTGTTACAATGTTTCAAAATCAAAACAAAGGTTGTTCAGTTGCTCCAGTATCAACACTAATGAAAACTTAACAGTAAGGTACCATGTAAAGTTCTACTAAGTAGAATCTGGCTAAGGTACCATGTAAAGTTCTACTAAGTAGAATCTGGCTAAGGTACCATGTAAAGTTCTACAGAGTAGAATCTGGCTAAGGTACCATGTAAAGTTCTACTAAGTAGAATCTGGCTAAGGTACCATGTAAAGTTCTACTAAGTAGAATCTGGCTAAGGTACCATGTAAAGTTCTACAGAGTAGAATCTGGCTAAGGTACCATGTAAAGTTCTACTAAGTAGAATCTGGCTAAGGTACCATGTAAAGTTCTACTAAGTAGAATCTGGCTGAGGCACCATGTAAAGTTCTACTAAGTAGAATCTGGCTAAGGTACCATGTAAAGTTCTACTAAGTAGAATCTGGCTGAAGTACCATGTAAAGTTATACTAAGTAGAATCTAGCATTGTATAACATAATGGTAAAACAGAAAATGGTCTTGAAGAAAACAATAAATATAAGTAGGTATACATTCTATTGAGCCCATTACATTGTAGGACTTTGAGACTAAGAGTAAGGAGCGGGATTACCTTGAACATTGGAGTTTAACAAAGAATTACCAAATATAACAGAAATTCGCTTTATCTCGAAACAATCAGAACTTTCTGTTACCTCAAATACAGGTAATGAACAAAAGATGTTAGTGACCACGACCCCAGCCTTTGTCTAAATAACATGTATTCAGAGAACTTGATTTCATTACTTTTAAGTGATCCTAGGGTTTTTCTTCTGTGTGTGTGTTTGTGTGTGTAGAGACCAAGAAGGTTAATAACTTTTGTTTTTTTCACTTTAACAAAATCAAAACTGTAAACACTATTGCCAAAACTATCAACCCTACAGACTAACTAGCCTCCAGGAGTATCAGGCCCACAGAGTATCTAGCCTCCAGGAGTATCTAGCCTACAGGAGTATCTAGCCTCCAGGAGTATCTAGCCTCCAGGAGTATCTAGCCTCCAGGAGTATCAGGCCTACAGTTTAACTAGCCTCCAGGAGTATCAGGCCTACAGACTAACTAGCCTCCAGGAGTATCAGGCCTACAGACTATCTAGCCTCCAGGAGTATCAGGCCTACAGACTAACTAGCCTCCAGGAGTATCAGGCCTACAGAGTATCTAGCCTCCAGGAGTATCAGGCCTACAGAGTATCTAGCCTCCAGGAGTATCAGGCCTACAGACTATCTAGCCTACAGAGTATCAGGCCTACAGAGTATCAGGCCTACAGACTATCTAGCCTCCAGGTGTATCTACACTACAGACTATCTACCCTCTGGCCTCCAGGAGTATCAGGCCTACAGAGTATCTACCCTACAGAGTATCTGGCCTACAGAGTATCAGGCCTACAGACTATCTAGCCTCCAGGTGTATCTACACTACAGACTATCTACCCTACAGAGTATCTGGCCTACAGACTATCTAACCTCCAAGAGTATCTGACCTCCAGGAGTATCTGGCCTAGCCTCCAGGAGTATCTGGCCTACAGACTATCTAGCCTACAGGAGTATCTGGCCTACAGACTATCTAGCCTACAGAGTATCAGGCCTACAGAGTATCAAGCCTACAGACTATCTAGCCTCCAGGTGTATCTACACTACAGACTATCTACCCTACAGAGTATCTGGCCTCCAGGAGTATCAGTACTACAGAGTATCTAGCCTACAGAGTATCTGGCCTTCAGACTATCTAGCCTACAGGAGTATCTGGCCTACAGACTATCTAGCCTCCAGGAGTATCAGACCTACAGACTATCTAGCCTACAGGAGTATCTGGCCTACAGAGTATCTAGCCTACAGAGTATCTGGCCTACAGACTATCTAGCCTCCAGGAGTATCAGACCTACAGACTATCTAGCCTCCAGGAGTATCTTGCTTACAGGAGTATCTGGCCTACAGATTATCTAGCCTCCAGGAGTATTTTACTCTGATACTGATATTGACCTTACCTGAGTGAATTCTATGGTAACTATGGCGTGACTTCTGCTGCTATGATCATGCATGTAGGTAGATGCAGTCGTTCTGTAAATAAAAGACAAAACAAAAATTGAAACATTAGATTGAGTAGAATATTGAAAACAAATGGATCAGATCGATGACAGGTTTCAAATGTTTACAGTTTCCCGACTCCTCTGCTGACTTTCAATGGAAGAATGACAGCATTTTAAAAAATGCTGAAGGTCAAAATTTATCTTTCAGTAAATTGTGAGACAGGCAAATATTGAAACATGTCTGTTTCACCTCTTGATCTTCTGGAAGTCTGTGATATTTACTGTTACCAATATCAGAAATCTGATGTGAGTTTGAACCCATTTGTACCCAGGTGTGGGACTTGCTGAGGTGATGGTATGTAGTGAATATGAACTAGGTTTGTCCTTGGGTTCGTGAGCTATATCATACATAATATGTGATCACACACATGCATAAAAGTGAATGATATGTGCCCCCTTACCTAAGTGGGGAATAGGGTGGGGGTGGGCGGATGATAGGGGGTGGTGTTTTGCATATTTTTAAAGAACAAAGAAAAATGGAGAAGATATCTATTAAATCATACCAAACATCAACAACAGTGGTCATCATATCATAAGAAAGGGTGCAGCTTGGTTGTGGATGAAATTGTGAAAATGGCTAAAAAAAATGACCCTGCGGATTATACTCGGGTGTGGTTTATAAGTTGGAAAATATGACAACAAATTCCAACATGGATGCTCTCAGCCATGATGACTATCAAAATACGGCGTTCACAACTTACACCAATACTGAACTAATACTGCTACAAGATGGTCCTTGCAGTTGTCTTTTAAGGAAGAGTTATTACAGCAAATTGTTTACAGAAAGGACTGGAGGACCAAAAGACAGAGAGACCTCAAACATCTTGAATATCTCACCACTGATGATGACAGGCTAAAAGACTTACCTATATTCATTGCCCCTCTCCAGAATAGCCTGGATTTGCTGGTTGTCATGGATGAAATGTGTTGACAAATCTGCAAAATGAAAGAAAGCCAACATGAAACATATGAACTTATTTTGATTGTTCCTAATTTAAGCTACAATAAAAGCTGACAGGAAATAATTCATTTCAGGAAACAACATTCCTTTGGAGTGTAGATAACCACATGTTAACTTACCATGAACATATGGTCCCTCCTTTGGGTGTTCCCGTACTTTCAGTGTGTATTTTTCATTTTTCTTTAACAATGATGGTCTCAGTAAATCTCTAACCCTCTCATTGTAGATTTCCAAATAACTGTGGACAAAAAATATCAATATTAAAAGATTACTTCAAAACAAACTTCAATCTCTTTCTCTCCCTCCCTCTCTCTCTCCCAGATGCAAATCAGGATTTTCATTAGATGACGTTGTCAAACATATTGAAAATTTTGGTTGCCTGGATAACTGGACCATTTTACATATATATCTGTAATAATCATGTTTATTTCTCCCTCCTGTCGCAGGTCTCACCTGATCTTAACATGGAATGACAAATTATCTTGGTCCACAAAGTTGTCCACATGACTGAACAGCCCCTGAAATACACAAATAAGAATAAATCTAGATCAGTAGAGTAAATTGACTGTAAGTATCCTAAAGGAACAAAAACAACAAGAAAGTACAAACATGAAAACCTTATCATAATCCTAACTCATATTTAACTTAAATACTGAGTATTGCTAAAGCAATATATGTCCCACACTGGTACCATATTGATTCATAAAGATGGTGGTGCTGTTTGGTGTTAATTTAGGAAAAATTGAAAAGTATAAAATTTCTTTTCACTGATTTTAATGTAACAATGAAATAGATAAGTATGATAACCTGACAAGACAGTTTCATCACTGATGTGTTATGTGTCATGGCCAGTTGTAAGTGTTTAAAGTTAATTAAAACTACCCTCTAAGGAATGAAGTTGCTGGGATCCTGATAATGAATTTTTAACAATATTAATGATGCCCTTGACCTTGAACCAACAACCCTGAAACTCACATTCATACAAGATATTGTGATGCTTTATGAATATGTGAAGTTTGATGAAAATCCGTCAAGGAATAAAGCTGCTTGAGTGCTAACAATAATTTTCTATGAAATTAGTAACAGTGACCTTAACTTTGAGCAAAAACAATATTGAAACATGGACTTGTTTTATCTTAATTTTAATTTCATTAAATTATTTTAATCCAATGCATTTTTACAGTAAGTTGGTGAGAATCCTTCAAGGAATGAAGCTGTTTAAGCACTGACATTGATTTTCTATGAATAGTAACAGTGACTTCGAACTTGACCCAATATATGTGAAGACTAATGAGAATCACAATGGACGGACGGACGGATAGATGGTTGGACAGACCGAGATGTATGAATAGGAAAACTAGTCCCCTGTACATGTAGTTTCACCAGTAAGGGACTAATACAACTATGGCAAAATATATACAAATGAAAGATTTCAAAGAAACTCCTTAAAAAGAACAAGGATAATATGACCAGGCATGCCGGAGGAATAAGGGACTTCTTCTTCATCGACTACATCTGACATGTAAATCTTGGTCAATCCAAGTAAGTAAGTCACATTCTCAAAAGAGAAAAAAAGTATACCACAACACCAAAAAATACAAAGTAACAAGTATCAACAATGTTACAAAGTAACAAGTATCAACAATGTTTGTTACAAAGTAACAAGTATCAACAATGTTGCAAAGTAACAAGTATCAACAATGTTGCAAAGTAACAAGTATCAACTATGTTACAAAGTAATAAGTATCAACAATGTTGCAAAGTAACAACTATCAACAATGTTTGTTACAAAGTACCAGATATCAACAATGTTTGTTACAAAGTAACAAGTATCAACAATGTTTGTTACAAAGTAACAAGTATCAAGAATGTTTGTTACAAAGTAACAAGTATCAACAATGTTACAAAGTAACAAGTATCAAGTGTTACAATGTTACCAGTATCAACACTGTCAAACCTCATATCACACAAAGAAAAAGAATATTTCTCAATGAGATCACTATGACCATAAAACTTCTCCATAATTTCTATCACTTTGCATCTCTTGAAACCCTGAGTTATGCTAAAGTAAAAACACTGCAGTGCTTCTATAGAAGTTAGAAATGTGAAAAGACTACAAGACATTGGGCAACAAAACACAGACAATGCAAGACGACAGTTTTTACTGTTACCCTGGCTCCGGCAAGCCTCTTTAAACATTATACCCATACACAGTTCCCTAGTGTAGGAAATAAAGTGTGTAGGGTATTTAAGGAAAGTTGAACATCTAATTCTCATGAGTCAGACAGTTTTTATTAACTGAACCAGATTTACATATTAAGCCTGTACTTTATTACTGCATCATCTGATAGACTGACCAGCATGTGGAGTTGACCACCAATGACCACCCTGAAGCAGTTTATAGGATCTGGCTGGATAATCTCACAGGTCTGATAAGCTTTACAAACAATTGACCTAAAAGTTGCCAGAATTACAACACAATCTCCCATCGTGGTATCAATTAAGATAAAGAAATCCAACCCATTGTTGGAGCTGTCTGTTTATTTGGGCTACTCTCATTGACTTGAAGTAATTTTGATATGCTCCCCTGCTGAGGGAGTTCATAGTAATATTCTACAGACTTAATTACTCTGTGTCATTGTTTGAAAGTTCATTCATCTAAGTCTGACAAGTGAATATTTAAACATCAAGATGGGAATTCAAAGGAAAGATATTTGTTAAATAAATACAGCCCTTTAAAGGGAACATCATGTTAATATGTGGTAGTTATCACCTGTAGTCCAGTGTTCTCACCTCCAGTTAAGTTCATAGAAATCACAAGAACACAAAAACTTATGTTCTATCTTATTTTTCTTTATTTCTACAGTAAAATTGTAAACCAGAATGATGTCAAATTTACTCATTTCTGAACATTCCATTGACTATATGTTAACTTGTTGAATATACATATGTATCATTACTGGGCTTGTAGAGTGAGTGGAGAACTCTGGTCAGACTGTTGGGTAAGCCTTACATGACCTCAGACCACAATACCTATGTCTGGAGCCTCTTGTCAAAGTAAATCATTGATTTTAATCAATATTAAATACCACTTTGAATGTTGTAAGTCATATCCATACAAACCATCGCCCTGTCTATATAGTTAACACCTGTCAAAATCTCTGTCTACTTAGCATTCAAAATATGTAATGAAGTTGGTTTAAGATTTAATTTCAGTTTTGCACAAAAGACAAAAATTTGAATATAATCCAGGGCAAGTTAGAGTCAATAGTGTAAGACTGACCAAAGTGGACCAGAGAAGGAACCCAGGTAAATGTAGGTAAGTATAAAAATCCATACATTTACATTAACAAGTTACAAACAGGTCCTTTTTCTGTTTACCTGGTTAATTCCCTTAGCGTAAGTAAACAAACAAAAACTGCCATATCATTTACAGCTAATATAGCCAGCCACTTTAACTGATATCTCAACTTCGACATCTCCCAACAATATCAGGAAATAAAGGAATGTTTGTGAAAGTGGCGCCTCCTATAAGGAACATGGCTATTTGTGTTCATCCTAAGACATCAGATCCTGGTATTGTCAAAGCAAAGAAGTAACATAACACTGTTGTAGGTACATCCCAAAGCCAGGTATTTAGGGCACAGCTATAGCTTCACTCCAAGGCCAGGTATTTAGGACACAGCTATAGGTACACACCAAGGCCAGGTATTTAGGACACAGATATAGGTACACACCAAGGCCAGGTATTTAGGACACAGATATAGGTACACACCAAGGCCAGGTATTTAAGACACAGCTATAGGTACACACCAAGGCCAGGTATTTAGGGCACAGCTATAGCTTCACTCCAAGGCCAGGTATTTAGGACACAGCTATAGGTACACACCAAGGCCAGGTATTTAGGACACAGCTATAGGTACACAGCTATAGGTCACAGCTTAGCACTCCAAGGCCAGGTATTTAGGACACAGCTATAGGTACACACCAAGGCCAGGTATTTAGGACACAGATATAGGTACACACCAAGGCCAGGTATTTAGGACACAGATATAGGTACACACCAAGGCCAGGTATTTAGGACACAGCTATAGCTTCACACCAAGGCCAGGTATTTAGGATACAGATATAGGTACACACCAAGGCCAGGTATTTAGGACACAGATATAGGTACACACCAAGGCCAGGTATTTAGGACACAGCTATAGCTTCAATCCAAGGCCAGGTATTCAGGATACAGATATAGGTACACCCTGTAGCCAGGTAGTTAGGACACAGATAAAGCTTTACTCCAAGGCCAGGTATTTAGGACACAGCTATAGGTACACACCAAGGCCAGGTATTTAGGACACAGCTATAGCTACACTCCAAGGCCATGTATTTAGGATACAGATATAGGTACACACCAAAGCCAGGTATTTGGGACACAGATATAGGTACACACCAATGCCAGGTATTTAGGACATTGCTATAGCTTCACTCCCAAGGCCAGGTATTTAGGATACAGATACAGGTACACCCTGTAGCCAGGTAGTTAGGACACAGATATAGGTACACCCTGTAGCCAGGTAGTTAGGATACAGAAATAGGTACACCCTGTAGCCAGGTAGTAAGAACATGGCTATAGGTACACCCTGTAGCCAGGTAGTTAGGACACAGATATAGGTACACCCTGTAGCCAGGTAGTTAGGACACAGATATAGGTACACCCTGTAGCCAGGTAGTTAGGATACAGAAATAGGTACACCCTGTAGCCAGGTAGTTAGGACACAGAAATAGGTACACCCTGAAGCCAGGTAGTTAGGATACAGAAATAGGTACACCCTGTAGCCAGGTAGTTAGGATACAGAAATAGGTACACCCTGTAGCCAGGTAGTTAGGACACAGAAATAGGTACACCCTGTAGCCAGGTAGTTAGGATACAGAAATAGGTACACCCTGTAGCCAGGTAGTTAGCACACAGATATAGGTACACCATGTAGCCAAGTAGTTAGGATACAGAAATAGGTATACCCTGTAGCCAGGTAGTAAGGACATAGTTATAGGTACACCCCAAAGCCAGGTAGTAAGGACATGGCTATAGGTACACCCCAAAGCCAGGTAGTTAGGATACAGAAATAGGTATACCCTGTAGCCAGGTAGTTAGGATACAGAAATAGGTACACCCTGTAGCCAGGTAGTTAGGATACAGAAATAGGTACACCCTGTAGCCAGGTAGTTAGGACACAGATATAGGTACACCCTGTAGCCAGGTAGTTAGGACACAGATATAGGTACACCCTGTAGCCAGGTAGTTAGGATACAGAAATAGGTACACCCTGTAGCCAGGTAGTTAGGACACAGAAATAGGTACACCCTGAAGCCAGGTAGTTAGGATACAGAAATAGGTACACCCTGTAGCCAGGTAGTTAGGATACAGAAATAGGTACACCCTGTAGCCAGGTAGTTAGGACACAGAAATAGGTACACCCTGTAGCCAGGTAGTTAGGATACAGAAATAGGTACACCCTGTAGCCAGGTAGTTAGGACACAGATATAGGTACACCATGTAGCCAAGTAGTTAGGATACAGAAATAGGTATACCCTGTAGCCAGGTAATAAGGACATAGTTATAGGTACACCCCAAAGCCAGGTAGTAAGGACATGGCTATAGGTACACCCCAAAGCCAGGTAGTTAGGATACAGAAATAGGTATACCCTGTAGCCAGGTAGTTAGGATACAGAAATAGGTACACCCTGTAGCCAGGTAGTTAGGACACAGATATAGGTACACCCTGTAGCCAGGTAGTAAGGACACAGATATAGGTACACCCTGTAGCCAGTTAGTTAGGATACAGAAATAGGTATACCCTGTAGCCAGGTAGTAAGGACATGGCTATAGGTACACCCCAAAGCCAGGTAGTAAGGACATGGCTATAGATACAATCTCTTTATATAAACAGTACTACCTGCCATCAAAGCTTCAACACCTTTCCATATCTACACACACAACATATTGATTGCTCTGGGAAAACCAAAAATAAATGTAGCTGACAGTGAAACGTGTTTCTAGTTCGATATATCACTTCACCTTGTCTACATCAAGGATAAATTCAAAAGCCAGTGTTAATTGTTCTACTATTTGCCTTGTGATTTATTTCTAATGTATGGTGTTGGTTCAGAGAGATCAGAGGTGTTCAGTAGATTGGTAGCCACCTTATCTTCTCTTTTGGCCTACTGCAGTCAACACCAGCCATTTACCTCTTACCAGATCAGGTGGAGGGATACTCTGGTCCCAGTAGTCAACACCAGCCATTTACCTGTTACTATATCAGGTGGGAGGGATACTCTGGTCCCAGTAGTCAACACCAGCCATTTAATTGTTATCAGATCAGGTGGGAGGGATACTCTGGTCCCTTTAGTCAACACCAGCCATTTACCTGTTACCATATCAGGTGGCAGGGATATCCTGGCAGCCATTTACCTGTTACTATATCAGGTGGGAGGGATACTCTGGTCCCTGTAGTAAACACCAGCCATTTACTTGTTATCAGATCAGGTGGGAGGGATACTCTGTTCCCTGTAGTCAACACAAGCCATTTACCTGTTACCAGATCAGGTGGGAGGGATACTCTGGTCGCTGTAGTCAACACCAGCCATTTACTTGTTATCAGATCAGGTGGGAGGGATACTCTGGTCCCTGTAGTAAACACCAGCCATTTACCTGTTACTATATCAGGTGGGAGGGATACTCTGGTCCCTGTAGTCAATACCAGCCATTTACTTGTTATCAGATCAGGTGGGAGGGATACTCTGTTCCCTGTAGTCAACACAAGCCATTTACTTGTTATCAGATCAGGTGGGAGGGATACTCTGGTCCCTGTAGTAAACACCAGCCATTTACTTGTTATCAGATCAGGTGGGAGGGATACTCTGGTCCCTGTAGTCAACACCAGCCATTTACCTGTTACCATATCATGTGGGAGGGATATCCTGGCCCACTTGTTACCTGATCAGGTGGGAGGGATATCCTGGCCCACCTGTTATTAGATCAGGTGGGAGGGATATCCTGGCCCACTTGTTACCAGATCAGGTGGAAGGGATACTCTGGCCCACATGTTACCAGATCAGGTGGAGGGATACTCTGGTCCCAGTAGTCAACACCAGCCATTTACCTGTTACCAGATCAGGTGGGAGGGATACTCTAGTCCCTGTAGTCAACACAAGCCATTTACCTGTTGCCATATCAGGTGGGAGGGATATCCTAGCCCACCTGTTACCAGATCAGGTGGGAGGGATACTCTGGTCCCAGTAGTCAACACCAGCCATTTACCTATTACCATATCAGGTGGGAGGGATATCCTGGCCCACCTGTTATCATATCAGATGGGAGGGATATCCTGGCCCACCTGTTATTAGATCAGGTGGGAGGGATATCCTGGCCCACCTGTTATCAGATCAGATGGGAGGGATATCCTGGCCCACCTGTTATCAGATCAGGTTGGAGGGATATCCTGGCCCACCTGTTCACACAATGTGCAGTATGTTCGTAATCAACCTGTAAATTCAGTAACAGTGTTTACAATGAAGTACTAAGGTAGTACAAGCATCAAGTATTGCTGAGAGTTGTGAAAACAAGACAGACTATTACTGAAGCCTTAATAGTAAACAAGAAATGTAAGGTGTTAGCAGCTGGTAATAGTCAGTCTCACTAACATAGTACCTCTGACACTTTGTTACTGTTTAATATTGCAGCTCCATCACTGATAGATAAAAACAGCTGACAGTATCTAAAGAGACCTTTTCAATGATCTCTGACAACAGGTAAATCAGCAGACTATTTGTGTGGTATAAAGATTTAAACAATACTGGATATAACACAGGAATTATTATATCATTAGTTATAGGACTTGTGTAGTAATATATCATTGTATGTGTGACCTCTACCTTCGATTTTCACGATCATCTGTTTGTTTAGGTGTTGAAGGCTATATCTACTAAATCCAGTCTAAGAACACTACTGGTCAGCCCTTGAGTAGACCTACTAATTCTTACCATAGGCTCTTGTGTATTAAGGTATGGAAAATGTCCTGTAAACCCCCTACTGGGACAGAAGAGCTACTAATTCACTCATTATTATAGCAACAATCTTGATTACATCATAACAACACACTCTGGTACAAATTAAAGGTAATTTAGACACCTGTTCCTATTTTGATAGACTCCTTACCTGGTACTCCAGTGACACGATACACAGTGTATCAGGTAAACTTTAAAATACTGTCCATATCTAAGTGTTTACTCTTAATAAATCAAATTACTCAAGGGTGTAATCAATCTATCATACAAAATATGAAAAGAATTACTCGTATCTTATCCATGTGGCTCCTGCTGGGGCCCCTCTACCGTAAATGATGTACCTTAAATTTAGACCTTCACATCCATCCTTAAAGCTGTTCCCTGTATTTAGAGCCTCACTGCCAACCTGTGTCATGTACCCTGCATATAGACCTTCACATCTACCATGTATCTGGTACCTCCAACTAGACCTTCACATCCACCCAGTATCTTGTACCTCCATCTAGACCTTCACATCCACCCAGTATCTTGTACCTCCATCTAGACCTTCACATCCACCATGTATCTTGTACCTCCATCTAGACCTTCACATCCACCCAGCATCTTGTACCTCCATCTAGACCTTCACATCCACCCAGCATCTTGTACCTCCATCTAGACCTTCACATCCACCCAGTATCTTGTACCTCCATCTAGACCTTCACATCACCCAGTATCTTGTACCTCCATCTAGACCTTCACATCCACCATGTATCTTGTACCTCCATCTAGACCTTCACATCCACCCAGTAACTTGTACCCCCATCTAGATCTTCACATCCGCCATGTATCTTAAGCTTCTACCCTGTATCTAGACCCTCACAATGTCTATCACAAGGTACAGATGTTGTGCCCTTTATCTAGACCCTCACAAAATCTATCACATGATCCAGCTGGTTACCTAATTTATACCACATGTCTCCCCAGGCAAAAGACAAAGGGAGGGCGAGGATGAGTAGTTAAATGATACCTACACCCCCTCCCCATCCCATAATATGTTTTTCCTGCTACTGTTTCATACATTATTTAATCATGCATGTTCTCTTGTGAAATAAGAAACATATACCCATGAATGCCAAGTGACTGTGAAATACTGTTAAGTGGAAAGAAAGGGAAAATATCAACATGTACAGTGACATTTACTTAGGAATCAGGACCCAAAAGTTTTCCAGGCTTCTGAAAGGCGCCATATACTAGTAACTCATGGGAACTTTATGTCACATGAAAATCAGCCAATTAAAACACAAGAGCTTTTCTTAATAAGAATCACTATAAAAATTAGCCTTGGGTTCCTAGCAGGTTATGGCATTCAGCGAGGGCAACAATCTGGTTAGTATAATCAAAACTAATACAGCCTTCAAGGAATCACCCGTTGAATATCTATCACAGAAAATAAGAGAATTTGCAGCATCAGACAAGAATTCATGGCGTTCCCATAATTCTGTCACTCGTCATACTGTCACCCCTTAAGTGTACGCCCACCAAGTCTTCAAGTCATATTCATATCAACCACAACTTATAACATCTTCCATTTAAACAAGATCAAACAAAACTTAAGAGCAGACATTTAACTTTCCGTGTGGATAGACATGCTTAAGGTGCAATATTTTAAACTTGGTCATTGAGATTTGATTGATCTATTGGGCGGCTTCAGAGGACAATACAGTCCATGTCTGTGTTGACAGACATATAGAGGGAGGATTTATCTACATTCTTTAGGGTTTAATATGTTACATAAATCTCAGCTGAGTCACCTGTACATCAAAATCTATGCCAAAAATATGGCCCCTTCACCAGTTTTTCTCAAGATTGATGTCGCATGCCTTTCTCTGCTGGTACTTGACCAAGTGAAATATCCAATGATCTTTTTGAAATAATGTTTATAAGGAAATATATCATGAGGAAATACTTACCTCACATATTCTTGGAATCAGTCCTGCATCTTCCTGTGAAAACAAATACTGAATTAAATATTTGAGTAATTAAATAATCATTGTATTCTGTCACAGACCTCAGCAGCTGGTAGGTGGCAAAAATGGGGAACAGCTTGAGATGAGTATTGTTATGACAGATATCATCCACAATATTCTGTCTCATTTCACTTCAAATCTTATTAACCTGAGTTTTGATAGTTGAATATGCATATGTTATCAATTTGACAAAATTTTAATTAGTGGATGGAAAAAATGTTGAATCACCAGTGATGATAAAACTTCCAATGGTGATAGAACGTCTTTAGTTTTGACCAATCAGAATTGTTCTGTCCAATAATTACTCTGGTTTTGGAGACAAGTTGAGTGAAGGTTGAATATTGATTAAGCACATCTTAGATGGATTTCTAAAATCCCTATTCATATCCAAGGAAAGCTTTATAAACATAAAAGCAGTCATTTCAAAATGGTACTGTCTTGTTATTACAAACATTTAACTTTAAATGTACAATGATTTGCTACTATTTCCTAAACTTCAATGGAAGATATCAATGCTTTGTTTCATTAAGCATCATATTTCATTCATACAGTAGAATAAACTGACATCAGAGAAAAATAATACTATTTAAATTGATAAGATATTCAATGGAACAACACATCTTCTATGTATCTAATGACAGAAAATTCAAAATTTAGTTATTGAAATCTATGTAACTTCCCTGATCAAATCCATGCTTATGCATTTCATGAAACAGCCAGTCAAGACTTGAACTATGCAAAACTTCAAATGATGTCAACAAGCAACTTTATGTACTTATACCAGGAATACTAGACTGATAGAAAGATATACAAGAAAACACTTGACAAGAAAATACAACCATAGGTCATATCAACCATAATCCATTCACCGTGAGTTTTATGACTCAAATGAATGATAGTGCACATTTCTTACAAATGGCAACCTATTAGATTTATAACATTCCTTCCTGACACCCATTAATGACATTCCTTCCTGACATCCATTAATACGAAACTATCCTGACATCCATTAAAGAGAAACCTTTCTGACACCCATTCATGACATTACTTCCTGACACCCATTCATGACATTCCTTCCTGACACCCATTCATGACATTCCTTCCTGACATCCATTCATACGATACCATCCTGACATCCATTAATGAGAAACCTTTCTGACACCCATTCATGACATTCCTTCCTGACATCCATTCATACGAAACCATCCTGACATCCATTAATGAGAAACCTTCCTGACACCCATTCATGATATTCCTTCCAGACAACCAATAAAGACATTCCTTCCTGACATCCATTAATACGAAACCATCCTGACATCCATTAATGAGAAACCTTTCTGACACCCATTCATGACATTCCTTCCTGACACCCATTCATGACATTACTTCCTGACACCCATTCATGACATTCCTTCCTGACATCCATTCATACGAAACCATCCTGACATCCATTAATGAGAAACCTTTCTGACACCCATTCATGACATTCCTTCCTGACACCCATTAATGACATTACTTCCTGACACCCATTCATGACATTACTTCCTGACACCAATTCATGACATTCCATCCTGACACCTATTAATGACATTACTTCCTGACACCCATTCATGACATTCCTTCCTGACACCCATTCATGACATTCCTTCCTGACACCCATTCATGACATTACTTCCTGACACCCATTCATGACATTCCTTCCTGACACCCATTCATGACATTCCTTCCTGACACCCATTCATGACATTCCTTCCTGACACCCAATTATGACATTCCTTCCTGATACCCATTCATGACCTATCCTCTATTTGAAATACCCTACTACTTTCACTAAATCAAGGAGCATTTTGTAAATCCATCTTTCTTTTCACTAAAGAAGTGTTCCTTTTATGGTAGAACAATACCTGGCCTCCCATCATGGTGTAAGTCTTTCCTGTGCTTGTCTGTCCATATGCAAAAAGACATGCATTGTATCCCTCAAAGGCAGCCTGAAGCACCTCTGTACCCAGGTCCTGGAACACCTATAAAACAAATTCAGCATCATTTTATTACCTCACAAAACCCAATTCACATCTGATTTCATGCTATCTCTCCTCATCATCAAGAGAAAAAGATAATAAAACTATATACATTTTCATCAGCAGAAAAATGACAGATCTTAATCGTTTCTTGCGGGTTTTAAGTTATAACACATCTTTTACAGATCAAATTAAATTTTGGAAATTAACTTTATAAATCCTGAACATTTCTATACTGTTGTTTTAACATCTGTAGTTTGCACTGATGTTCTAATACCAATTTATCTTTGTTCCTTCCAGTCAGGTCAGCCTGGCTAATTTTGGTGGTGATCATCATATTTGTGACAAGATTATATATCAATGATGTTATCTGTATTCACTAATTAATGTTTTACACATTTTAATGAAATGATGGCCAGACTTTGTTTCATCATTACATAAAGTTCAGATTGTCACTTATAACATCAGTACAATATCATGAAGGAAGATGGACAGCTGGACAGACATTCATATCCTCTGTCCTCATCCTCCATGAGGGCCCCAAACAATAACCAGCTAGCAATTCCATTGATTCTGGGTTATGCTAATTAATCCAAATGTTTTGTTAAGATGAAACTCCCCTACAACTGATAACATAATTATTCTATATTGGAGTGAAATGGTTTATCAATATTTCAATTATCTTTTTTCCTCTGATACTCTCATTGACAGCTTCAAATGACCTAAATGAGCTTTGGGTTGACCGTAATATCCTCTAGCTGCTGCAAAGGTTTCCACTGGCTATAAAGCTTAGACAAATATACCACACAGTACCAGCATTTCTAACTCAGGTATCTTCAGTGTGCAATTAAGGAAGAGAAATTCTTTAACACACACGCAAAAAAAAAAAAAAAACCCTGTTCTCTTCTCTGTTTTCACTCTTAATGGCAAGAAATTTAAACATTAATCCTTTGCAGGAATACCGATAGGTAGAACTGTTGCCAGGATGTCTGACTAATACCCCTTGCTCCCAAATCAACAATTGTTTTGTCCCAACAAGATTTCTCCAAGAGGTCTTCATGTGGTCACCATGGCAACCAACTGAAAACATTGTTTTTGGGTTGTTTTTTTTTTTAAGTGTTATCATTGTATTTGTCATCCCTATAATCCTTTTCATACTGATTTTCAACTTATTCAGAAAATATCTTAATTTCGACCAATCAGAAGCTTCCAAAGTGTTTTCATGGAAATGGTTTTGGAATACCTAATATGTCAAATTATAGGATGCAGCATTTTGATCAAGTTTAAATGAAAAGTGAAGGGCACAACTATATATCATGGGAATGTAGCATGCCAAGTTTGGAAATGTTGCTTCAGTACTTAATAACATACACTTAACGCAATATTCCAAACAGAAATCTACAAAGCTGGGCATTACCAAATGTTGTAAAATTTTTATGAAAATCAAACCGGCACAACTAGGAACAAAGGGGAACCTATAAAAAAGTTTGAGAGAGATCCACTGAGTATTTCTCAAGAAATAGCGATATCAAACTTTACTTGGCAAAATCAAAGACGGTCACCTGTCAGCAATTTTGTTTTTTCGATCAGTCCTAAAATCAAACAGGCACAAGCAAGGACCAAGGGGAGGCTACATGTGAAGTGAAATTGGAGAAAAATCCATCCAGTACTTCTCAAGAAATAGCGATAAGAAATGTTTACGGACAGACCAACGACCACGAATGTAGGGCGATAACCCTAACCCTTAATCTTCATTCAAAGAGATTTTACCTAATAGACCCTGAAGTTCAGTTTTCCTCATTTGTAAAATAAGACATTAAGGTTGAAGATTCAAACTTTTGAGAATCACTGAAATTTAAATCTTGGGCAATGTCATTCATTAAACCAAATGACTCCATGTAGGTCTAGGTCTGGTTGAAGATGTTTTTGTTGTTTGAACAATGTTGACAGCTTGTAGAATATATACCATTAGGCTACCCCAGATCTTATAGTTTACAGCTCAATTTCAGTTTTCAACCTTTTCAACACTGCTAATTTTAGAGGTGAACAACACAGCTGTTTCATCCCAGGCAACCTTTAAACATTAAGAAGTTTGTTAAAAATCAAGGATATATTTAACAATATGACCAGATGTGTCCTATCTACAATACACCTACACTAAATTAGTCCATTATTGATCTAACTCACCAGGTCTCCTATCAATTCTCATATCAATATTGATCAGCCCAACACACATGTGTGTCCTAAATAGAACTGTCTTTGTTATATCTTATACACCTGGGATGGACAATAGTAACACTTGGGAGGAGTTCTACTACCATTTTCAAATGAAGGTACTCCCAAGTGTTTCTAGTCACAAGAAATGAAACCACGGACAAAAAGAAAGTTATGTACCAGGTATATAAACTTTACATAAGTATTTGTGTGATATCAAATCATTAGCAGGTCACCCCAAATTACAAACCCTTGATTAATGTCTATGAAAGACTTCTTCACCAAGGATCAAGGGTTGGGTTGCAGGTGCCAACTCATGGCCATGGTATAGTAAGACATTAATTCAACCAAGTTCAAAAAACAATATGTCAACCTCTGGTTAACATTTTTTGGCTAAGTGACATAAATTCATTGGATTTCAAAACTGATATGTCTAGATCTATCAATATCAAATTGTGTACAGAGAGAACCACACAGAAGTGGTTACAAAAACCATGTCCTGAATTCCCTCCCAACTTGATGGGTGATTTATCATACCAATAGCAAAAGAAATGTCGAAACACTTTGGTTTTGCCTGTTGTTGTATGCCATAGTCCACTATGGCCCCCCTAATCAATGGGTAATTTAACTGTCTGATAGCTGATATAACTCGTCAGCATGAAATGTACAGTTAATGTTTGGTCCAAACTTTATAACACACAACAATTTATTAGCCTACAACAATTGTAGCCATGAGTATTTGCTTTAGTATGTTGTATATTGTGTGTATGGCTGTGAAAAAATAACTTGTAAAGCTCTGATAGGGTAAGGATTATGTGATAAGTATTATGTGAATGGTATTGACACTACGATAATTATCCAAATCTCTCCAACGGTCCTGATAAAGACTAAGCACAAAAGTATCACTGATGGCAGTAGTAATTAAGCTGAAAAATTTCCTTTACGATACAAATACAAAATTTCTAAGATTATGATTTGACAACTGACTGACCACGGTCATCCTTCTGACAACAAATAAATGTTACTGACTGGAAATAGTATTTTACATGGTTTACATCAATATACTCCATACTCTAGGGAAAAAATGGTCTGGAGTTGTTCTGAAGCAATTCCTATATGAGTGCTTATATAAACTGTACTTTTTACAGTGTCAACCTCCACTTTTACACCTATCTTTTTTACTGGTGTGATGCTCTAATGAATGAACATGAGAAATCCTTCCCAAGGGGTTGGGTAGTTGAGCTAAAGACGAGTTTGTAGTCATAAGAGAAATTGCAAGTTCTTGTAAGATATGCCAGCTCACTATAAATTCTTCCTTGGTGAGTTGGTAAGGATACCATCGAAAGAGAAATTCTCCTAATGTGACTTGGTAAGACATATTAATTCTCCCCAGGCTAGGTAAGTTGGTAATTGTCAGTTTAATATCAATTCTTCATCGGTGAGTTGGTAAGATATGCCAAATAAATACTAATTCTCCATTGGTGAGTTGGTAAGATATGACATTAAAATATAAAGTTTTCCAAGGTGAGTTAGCACAGCCTGAAGACATTAGGAAGAAGACAAGGGAATACATAGGAAGGTATGAACCATTGGGAGTTACTAGAAAGGCCAGGTCAAGGAGGTATAAGTTATTGGTCACAGATAAACAATGATGTTGTTTGTAATTCCTACCACACCCAGTGCTTCTCAGGCTAATATTGACTGATAACTGACCAGCAAAACGATGACCAAGGAAAGGAATTTGTGGCTAACTGACCAGCAGAGGGGGAAAGTAATCTATGGCTAACTGACCAGCAGAGTGGGAAAGGAATCGATGGCTAACTGACCAGCAGAGTGGGAAAGGAATCTGTGGCTAACTGACCAGCAGAGGGGAAAGGAATCTGTGGCTAACTGACCAGCAGAGTAGGAAAGGAATCTGTGGCTAATTGACCAGCAGAGGGAGAAAGGAATCTGTGGCTGACTGACCAGCAGAGGGGGAAAGTAATTTGTGGCTAACTGACCAGCAGAGGGAGAAAGGAATCTGTGGCTAACTGACCAGCAGAGTGGGAAAGGAATCTGTGGCTAACTGACCAGCACAGGGAGAAAGTAATCTGTGGCTAACTGACCAGCAGAGGGGAAAGAAATCTGTGGCTTACAAAATGGAAACATATATTGTACACCTCCATTTGTAGCCAAGGAAGTTAGCTTACATCTAAAGATTAACACAGGCAATGAAAATCTGACAATCACTAACTTATCCTTGACTATATATTTACACACTAGCAATGTTTGTCCACAACTTGAAATACGCTGTAGTGTTTATGGTCACTGTAACAATGACACTAACTCACTGGTATTTAATACTGATTTCCAGCATGCTTTTGAACACAAACAAATCTACATTGGTAAAAATAATATCTAGTCCAGACTGGTTGACTGTTTTAATGGTGATTTGATATGCGAATGGTTTGGAATTGATATTAATGCCACAACTTAAGTTTAATGTATATCGCAATCTGTTCACATAACATAGTAGACATTACTAAGTGTAATAATTAACAGGCTCTGGGATACACTTAGTATGATATAACTTATTGACACCAGCTTCAGGAAAGATGTCTCATGCCACATGGAATGTGACTTCCTTAACAGAAGTTGTAGGCGTTATTTACAAACAATCATAATTGTCAAACAGAAAAACATACACAAAGTTTCTAACTAAAGATGAATGGTTAAAATCTTCAACTGAACAATTAAACATATCAGTTAATATCTTTATTTCTGATTTATTAAAATTAGCTTAGTTGGAA